TCCTACGTTTAAATTGACACGGTAGAGCTCTTACAATTTCATTATAAAAGGTTACCTTCATAAATTCTTCCTTTTGCTTATAGTGCCGATATACCTTTCCGCCCACTTCCGGTTTCATGGGAAATGGCCCAGGTTTTGAATCTTTAAATAGAACACACCCTGTATATTTTTGCATTTTTGGATTTCTGTGACAATTATTCTGAATCATTCTGAACCTTTTCAAAAGGTTTTATGCCTACTGGATTTTTTTAGAGCCATTTTTAATATTGCATCTACATAGGTGGCCATGATCCGACCCAAACTAATCTAAGGACCTTAAGTGATCGCAAAAAAATTACAATCGCAAAGTTTTAGTGGCTAATATGAGAGATCGAAATAAAACAATTTGTCAAAATTACATTTTCGTGTCTAACTAGTATTTTCAAATGGTAATCCTTTTTTGACAAGCACCCAAGTACCATTCCGGACAACGAAAAGGAAACCTGGGAAGAGGTATCTCAATACGGTCCAGTTCTAAAGGCGTATTGACCTCAGTGGGATTTGTTACGGCTAGAAGATGATATTCTGAAGAGGATTCGAGAAAATGATGATGGCACGTCCACCATGGTGCAGTTAGTGATACTGCAGAGCAAGAAATCTGAAATATTACGACAAATGCACGATGCATATCGGGAGGGCGTCTAGGAGTGACGAAAACGCTGGTTAAGGTACGTAAACGCTTCTACTGGGTGAATTGCAAACAAAATGTGAAGGAATGGTGCAGAAATGCGCATTTTATGGGTAGTCCATTTGAAAGAAAAGTCATTGATATCGCAGGCCTCTTTCCGGAGATTTTAGAAACAAATACATCTTGGTGGCCATGGACTATATGACAGCAAATTGACAGAAGCATATGCGCCACAATATCAAAAAGTGGCAACCGTGGTAGACGTTCCTGGTAAAAGAACTTTGTAGCAGATTTTGAGTACCCCTGGAACTATACACTCTGACCATGGACGAAATTTCGAATGGGCGTAATTCAAAAGCCTGCCTCAGTTATTGGACATTTGCAAGACGAGAACCACTGTTTTACACTCACAGTCAGACGGGATGGTCGAACGCGATTCCGTGAGGAATCTAAAGATTTGTTTGAAGCACCAGCGGAATTACCTTCAACGTCCCGAGGTGGATAAGATGTGTTTTCTGCAGGAGCAGGGACGGTTTCTTTATTATCTGGCAACAAAAAACCGGTCTTGTGACCGTTTTTGGAATGCTCTACAAAACTTGAAACGACAACTACATATTCATGGCGTTACAATGATGGTAATTCCGAAGATCGGATGTGGTTTTGATAGGCAGGACTGGCGTATCGTGCGCAGTATTCCGGGGCACCTGGGTGAAAATATTGGTCTGTCGCCCCAGAGGAACCCCTCAACCTACTCGTAAGACGGTGGATACCCTTTTCTTCAAAAATGGATGATGCACGAGGGGCTCTTCGTGCAAGTACCGCCATCAAGTTCGTCCAATGGAACAATAGTTGCCTGGGACTGTGTCTGCGCTACCACCGTCGTCCGTATTGCGAGAAGCAACAGTTTTAAGAGTGGGGAGAAGCCTGTGTAGCGAATATTGCAGAAAACGAAGGGTGTGGCGAAATCTTTCCGAGAAATATGACGTGCTTATTTGAGAACATATAAGCAAATCGATTTATGATTCAAGACAGTTCCACTTTCAACGCCGAAGTAATAAATAGTTCGCGCTGTTATAAATTGTGTCTTCGTGAGTGACAAATGATATTTTAACTGTTATAAATCAATTCTTTTCAAGACTGTTATAAATTTACACGTCATTAAATTTACATTACAATATCATTGCATTGTTGGTGTTTTTGTTTGATTTTTTGAAAGTTGTCAGTTTTTCTTTTGGGAGGATGCAAACAGTCAAGCGACTTCTTTTGATGGGGAGGATTTAGATTTTCCGGTTTTGCTCGAATAGACATTTGAATATTATACTCATCGAAAACGCTAGTAATGCTTATATACATACTATATAATGTGTATATATACTTTATATTGTATATAATAGAGTTCCACGAATAAAAGTCTGGAATGTTGCCGTTTCCCGAACTAATTTTTATTATAGGTATATAAAACGTATAAAAAGTGCGTTAGTATCGCATTTCTTTCTTTATTTAAATAAAAGAAGGTAAAGTTACTTTTATAAATATAAAACAAATTGGCAATTTTAACCTATGGCATAGGTCTTTGCCCTAATAACAATGCCAGTAGGTATTGCTACGCCAGTATGCAATTAATAACAAAAAAAAAACTAAATTTATCCATTAGACTACTTGGGCTGCAGGTACGTAAAATCATCAGGTGTTAGCGAAACGTCTATTTACAGTACTGACCGTTTGCAAATAACTTCCGTATTCATTTCAAGGCGGTATGTATTATTAGCAAATTGGCAAGAATTGAGTTAAAAATTAAACTAAAAATTACACAACAGCACCAGGTTTTATTTATAAAAAAAATTCTTACCAAACAAATTAAAAAAGAACCCCCAAACCAGCGCACTAATTAGATGGTATGTACGTGTAGTAGACGTCACGTTAGGTTTAATCGACGACGCCACGTTCAATACCGACGCCGCGCCGGTTCAAAGCAGACTGATTTTAGTTAGCGTATGTTTACAGTCGTCCCCATTGAAGTTATAATTAAGTGATTTGTATGGCATTTACCTTATTGTAGTCAGTTTTGTTACGAGACGGGCCCGCCTATTGGAATCTTGAAAATTGGCAATGAATAGTAAATGACAAGTACAACAATCGCAAGGAATGGCACAAAGTCAAAGTACGTGCCGTTTGCAGATTTTACATGCATTTACTAAATGAGCGATGGTATAAAATAAAGGCAATTACACTTTGATTACATCAGGCATGTTTTAATTTGTTTTATGTGAAAGGGTTGAGGCTCATCATCAGCGCGTTCTATACGCTGTATAAATAAACTGCATACCAATATAGACAACGAGCGACAAGGCCACTTCCCGTTGACGAGTATTGACCAAAATTGAATCATTCCTTGACCATTGTCTACCTATTACTGAAAACAGAACTGGAAAATTCGAAAGCGTTCGCGAGTTATCATGTACACAAACGGACGGACGGACAGAAAGGCAAAAATCATGAATTCGCTTTTTGTCGGCCGTTAATATCGAATACACTACTAGCTAGATATTTACCGTAAAGACTCACAATCTGAATATATTTTGGATTGCGATATATTAACATATCTACGGTAATAAAAACTTCCGTTAAAAACTCGTAATTTCGTAGTCACTTCCGTTAGGCCCTCAACATAGCCCCTAATTTTTAATTTCTATGACCAAGTCGTGTAGGCGTTGAAAAGTGTTAGCAATTTATTAAATATCACCGCGTATCATGTTTTTAACTAATTTCAATGATTTAACCATTTGGTACATTCAATTTCGCATTAATCCTTTTCCCCACTGACTGCTTTATATCACTACGACTTTAATTGTAGAGTAAAGTAAAACGCGAACACAACCCCTATTTAATAAACTTTTTTTGGGGTACAGGGTAATGGGTATCCGTTTTTCGTACTAATCACACATCGCTTTGGAAGCATTGACGAAATGTTACATGGCAATCGTTCCGCCTTTTGAGAATAACCTCATTCGCCACTACTCCGTTCTGGAGATACTTGCACTTAAAGTTTTGACATCATCAAGGGATATGTTCCTTCCAGACTTTCCAATAACCGTTTGTGAGTATGCTCCTTAAACTTCCGTTCCGTTTCCGAGATATGAGGAATTATAACCGATCTCGATAAGGAGTATAAGAGGAGAGGTGTAATTATTCAGATCTTCCATTAGAATAGGTACCATAAAGGATGAAACCACTGTAAGTGGCAAGGAACAAGGGGCGGTAGTTGGTAGAAAACGATTCTTTTCGTTGAAACCTTTAATTAAAATATCATAAAGACCAATTTGTAACACCCCCCCCCCCCCCCTCGTCCCCAGCCACTTATTGATCTCGGAAAGTTGAAACCATTCATTACAATACCATGACGGATAGAATATTTAACCTAAAAAAATGCGTTAAAGACGCACACAATGTTTGGGAAGCTTCAGAATGAAATGGTTGTTAAGTAAAATTTGGAGTAATAAACATGTAACACATTCTTATAGGAAGCGGGTAGTCTTCGTTCTACTTCTAGGTATATTTTTTGTAACTGGCAAGCTATATTAGTACCTACTATTTTCCGTAATAGTTATTTACATCAAAGTCAGGAATATCACACATTACTGCCGAGGAAAGATTGAAGTGCGAGGCCCTTTTGAGCCGAGTACTTTAATTTCCGAGTTAAGTAATGTCATTTTACTGACGAGTTTTGTATAAAATTTTACCCAAAATCGTCCTGTAACCTTCATTTTCATGCTACTTTCTGTCAGGAAATTTTAGTTTCCATGACAGAGGCAGAATAGACTACGTTTCCTGCCGCTTGTCACAGTCAGGGACGCAATGACGCAATGATTTTCGGGGTAATGCATTATTTATACGTTTTTTTAAACAAAATTGATGAGAAAATCAAAATTGAAGTAGCGATAAAAACAGAAGTGAAATATTCGCTAAAAGATTTTTTTTAACAATTCCCAAAGTAATTATTGCCGTTGATGTAGCACAAAAATTTCCTTACTGATTATTGACGAACACGGACGTTATGTAAGGTAAAAGTGGGAAATAGTGGTTTAGCATTTGCAGAAACGCAACACTCTAGAAATAAAATAGAGCACAATCAGGAAACTTTTCCCTACTGATCCGAGAGGCACCTCTTTCGAATGTCAGAATTATTCTTGGCGGAAATATCTTGCTACACAACGAACTCTAAAAAGCGTTGCATTATACCTTAATTAAGGCATTGTTGTGCTAATCGGTTCAACTTCGAATTTATGCCCTTCAATTGCTGCCGTGGAAAAATAGCGAAACCGCCAGTCCATGTCGGACACCCTCAGTGTAGTTTTTGAAGAAAATGGTTTGATCGATCTCGTCCGTTGTTGTATTGAGGTTAATTAAGTGCACGAGAGCCAAAGAAAATTGGAATAAATTGAGGTACAAGAGCAAACCTACCTACGTATTAACTACTTATTCAATTTAGCTATTTTAACAGAAATTATGGTTTCACTACTGGCAAAACAGTTTTTAGTAAGTATTTTGAGGTAGAAAATGGATTGTAGAGCGGATAGGCTGCGCAAAATCAATCCTAGGGAGAATGCTAGCTGGTTATCAGTTTTAACCTTTTTGTGAGTACGAATTGAGTGGTCAATCGTAGTACCTATTATCGGAACCATTTTAGTTTCGCGCTCAAGATTTTTAGACAGTTTCCTAGAGAAAATGTTAAAGATGCCGATGTTTACCAAATACTCAAGTCGTTTGGTTCGGAAGATTTGGGGAATGAGTTGGAGGCGGCGTGGAGGACCGAGAAAAAAAGTGGAAGGAATATCTTCATGTATGCGGTGATTAAGTTGTTTTGGAAGAAATTTCTCTTTTGGATATTCGGGGTGACTGTAATAGATACAGCAATAATGTAAGAAACGTCCAATGACATACCTAATTAAAAACGTACTGTTTTTGTAGGATTATTTACCCGTTGTTGTTAGGGAAGTTGGTATCATACTTTACACCGAACTCCAAAGTAACGTTACATGATGCAATTATTTATACAACAGAATTACTTGGTCTAATACTGTTGTACACTTTCTACATACAAGCATACATCCTATACATATCGGAACTTGGTCTGAAAGTGAAAGTTGCATGTTCATCACTGATCTATAGAAAGTGCCTGAAGTTGAATGTTGCCTTATCGAAACACAACGTTACTGGATTGGTGCTAACAGTGATATCGAAGGACATTAACCATCTAGAATATGCAATTGATATTGTTATTTTGATGGCGTCAGGCATTTTTCAAGCTGGCATTATGATATATATGATGTATGCTGAAATTGGGGTTGCAGCTTTATGTGGTGCTTCAGTATTGTTCGTTTTACTGCCTCTTCAGGGTAAGTGACACATTTTGCAACATTTTCATTGAGACAATATGGTGGTGAAAGGCGGGTGAAGACTCCAATGGGGTAGATTCAGACGAAAATCTGCAGGATGGGAATTTTTTTTAGATGAACGTTGGTTTGGCAGTTTTTTTAGCCAATAACTAATTGGAATATTAAGAACATTTTGGTCGTTTAAATCCACTAACGCAACTGTACGTTTACAAGAACTTTTTTTTTCCATAATACTGTGTTTTTTGCAATGCTTTAAAAATGGATTTGTCTACAACAGTACACGTACGGCCAAATAATTTCTATGTGGCTTATAAAGGGCAATTAAGGGCAAGATTTTGATTTATTAATCAACTGTAACGGATGGTTATAAATAGAAGGGTGGTTCGGTAATTTTTCCTCGCAGAAGGGTCGCTAATGCTTATTGGTATCTTGTAAAGGGTTATATTCCTTCTCGGTTGATGGTGTAAATTCTTCTGGTGATCTCTTCGTCTGGTTATGTTACCGTACCCTTGTAACTTACCTTTTTGGTACGTTTGCTTCCACCTAGTTCAGATAAAAAGTATCTAGTATAACATGAGGAAAAAATTTAGTTCCCGCTGCTTTCACTGGTATTCATTAATTGTCATCAAAATTTGAAAAAATGCGGCTTCTGAAAGTTATACTCCAATATGTTTTGGTGAGATTCTGTAATTTTCATTCAGCCCCTCTTTTGACCAAATATCTTTTTTTATTCCAAGCAGCAATAATTCCAAAAAGTTCTTAAAATTTTAAGCTCATTTAAAATACCTTTGAAACAATGAAAGTAAAATTCTGATATCGCTCTCAAAAGAACGAAATGTAGCTTTTAATTGCTGCAATTGAAGCAATAATCTTCTCAGGTCGGCTTTCGTGAAGATTCTGCGTAGTGGTTCAAGACGCTAGCTGGCTAATATAATCGCAAGCTGTTTACAGAAAAAGCGCTGGTGGATGAACCAAATCGCAGGCTGTTTAATAGATTTCAAAATTGGGATGCTATACAATTTAGTCGAAGTAGCTTATGGAATTCGTCTTGCGCAACTTTTATTAATTATCGTCGAAGGGAAACTTTTTCACGACACTACGTACACTCGCCCTTTTAATATAACTAGGCCTCAGTATTAAAGACCATTCGTTGTCAAAAACACAAAACTGTATTACTGTGAAAATTGTGACCGCTGTAGTTGATTTCGCGTAATTAAATCTTACCTCTTAGTCACCTACTACAAATATACGTATATTGACATTTATTAAGCGGTAGAGCAAAACGATGCAAGCTTTATTAGGGAGCCGATGGTGTCCGTTTGTCCGTCTGTCCGTGAACACGAGAACTGTCTGTTCGACTCGGGCGCATCGCAAAGACACGGCAGTTTTCGCTTCTCATTAGTACTTTTTGTTTTATGATTTATGTAATTTTATATAATTGTGTAGGGGTGAACTCAGCTCAGCTTTAAGGGTTTGAGACCTATCTTGCCTCTCATAGTTAGCGAAGCCGCAGTTAGTGGACCTTGTATACCAATCATTCGCAGACCTTAATTAGCGTGGGTGCCATAACATGTTATTATTTGCGTGTTTGGTTGTAGGAATATATCACGCCATATAGTTATTTCACAATTCTTTAGGAAGCGGTATTAATCTCTCGTTTGCATGACACTATTTTAGCTGTTGTGGGGGTTTAAAACGTAAAATTAATTTAATTTGGTCGATATTTTGGCGATCTTCTTCCTCACTTTTTTTACGTGTCCCAGGAAAAGAAACTTGGAGACTGAATTTTTACGCCAACGCACACTTGCCGGATGGATGCTGCTATCGGTGCCGGTACAACTCTTCATACCGGGCCGGTGTAAATAACTTCGCGATGATTCAGAAAGCGTACCAGATGTCCACTTTACTTAAAATCGTAGCGTCGATGCAACGCAACGTTATATCGTTGGTATAGTAATCACGTGATTAAATTCCCATCAGAATACTGTATCGTTAATGGACTATGCAAGGCACGCACTACGAATATTTGGCGTGTTCCGTTATAAATACGTTGCTATTGAACGTTAACGATCGACGGCTAAGACCCAACGTAATTGCAGCGCGTCGCCTAGTGGATCGACGAGAACTCTGGAAAACAAGGTACATGCTCGCTGACGGTCTAACTCAAACTACCTTCAAAAGCTCTCCACCACGGGCTCACTAGCTTTTTATCTCGAAAATGCACACCTTTTCGAAAATACACGCGGTTATTGCTTCTGTTTCCAAACATACTTTCGTTCACGTTCGCTACGAAGCGGTATAGACGAATTTTTTAAAACAGCCAAGCAACCATACGTGTCATCGTCCGCGTAATCAGCAGTCCTTACGCCTCATGGGGCAAATGTAACCGTTAGTTTCCTTCAATGCACGGCTATCTATTTTTTTCGGGCTGAAAAAGAGAGGCAAAAATAGGAGCATGCAAGCGCCATTTATAGGTTCTTATGAATTGTGTCCGCTGAAAGGAGTAATACATTTTAGTAAATAAACAAATGGGGAAGAATGCGAAAGGAAATGTCACAAATGACCTACAACTGAAAACTTTCTTGTTCAAATTTCTGTGACGTGCGAATTTTTAAGAAATTTCCACGCGTCTTTTTCTTTTTTCCTGGAAGTTATCCTTCTCGGATCGTGTTTCTTTCAGGGCCTCGTGGGAAATTTTTTTCTATAGTTCCGTGTATTCTCAATCAAAATGAATGTAATAAAAATATGCGGCCGACGTAGGTAAATGAATTGGTTGATTTGGTTAAAGTAGTGAATATTATTACATGGAAGGCACGTCTGCCTCTTATATTATTCCCTTTGTCCTTCATTTAACGTATATTACGTAACACATAATCGGCGTATGTATCTCCTCTAATCTTTATTAAATCAGAATGATATTTTATAAGCCCTATCACCAAGTAACTTCGATAAACCTCATACAATTTAAATGTACTAGATTAGATTATGTGCACTTCAAGCCCCAGTCTGCAAAAAATTAATAATTACATTTAGTGCTATTTCCAGAATGTTTCGTTCCACAAAGGGTCATCGGCCACAAAACCCTAGGGAAAATGCAAATTTGTTTGCGAAAATTGTGTACTCGTGAGTAATCGTTGTTTCGTTGTGGGGCGCTGTGACAAATTTCCGTAGGTTTACATTTCCAATTTTTCGCCAGGGACTGAAAAGGGCGCTCCAAGTAAGTGATGTTTACGGAGTTACGACAGATTGCCAAAGTGGCTTGTTGGCTAGCGCCTTAGATGCAAAGTGGGACGAAGAGAAACGTAAACGTAATCCAAAATTAGTGTTCTGTTTTTTCAAAATGTTCGGTGTGACCTATGCTTGTTTGGGAATCGGACTGTTATTGATTAACACAGTTACTATGTAAGTTTAGGAAATTGGCTATCGCTTGTAATTGCTTCGTTCCAGGGCAACTTTCCCACTTCTAATAGGAAAAATTGTAAAGTCATTTCAAATGAATTCTTCTGAGGGCAACATGCATGTGTTGTGTTACTCCTTAGCCTTAGGTTCCTTTATTTTGTTAAAAACGGTGGGTTTTCACTCGTATATGTTTGGGATTGAGCGACTTTTTATCAGAACACAAATCGCATTCAATGGGCTGATATACAGAAAATGTCTGGCTTTAGGGACGAGTTCTTCGTCGGAGGTCGCCTCTGGAAAAGTTATTACTCTATTGACCAAAGATGTTAACGGCCTCTACTTTAGCATTCACTTCTTCCATCACCTGTGGAACGGAGTAATACAAATTGTTGTATTATCGTGGATGATGTACGCCCAAATTGGAATTCCGGCACTAATCGCAATGTTGTTCTTTTTGCTCTTCGTCCCGGTTCAAGGTTAATACCACCATCTTCTCTCTTCCAATTTTGAGCGATACAGATTGGTAAAAACTCGTTTTAGTGTATTTGGGAAAATGGACGGCGCGATTTCGACTGAAAACTGCTGCGAAAACCGATGAGAGAGTGAAGATCACCCAGGAAATGTTAACCGCAATTCGGATCATAAAAATGTATACTTGGGAAAAGTTCTTTGGCAAAACAGTTAACCAGTTACGGAAGTAGGTTACGAGCACGTCTTGTTGAATACTAAAATCGATTTTTTTAGGCGCGAAATCAAGGATTTGCGAATTTTGTTTTATATCAAGGCCATTGCGTTGTGTTTCGGATTACTTTCCTCGCGTTTCGCCTTTTACATATGCGTTATGACATACATTGCTTTGGGTAATCATATAACGGCCGAAAAGGCCTTCATTGTAACTGCGTGCTTCGGTGCCCTGAGAGCTGTTCTGTCCACCTTTATGCCGCTGGGTATCGCTCAAATGGCGGAACTGAAAGCATCGCTATATCGAATTACAAACTTTCTCATGATGGAAGAAGTACCTGGGAACGAGAATCTGTGCGAAGTTAAGGAACCGAAAATCTGTGTGAAGGATGTAACCGTGCAAAATTCAAGTGGGGCCGCGATCTTGGATAAAATCAGTATTAGCGTTTCGAAAGGTTTGACATTGGTGATTGGACCAACCGGTACTGGAAAGTCAACTTTGCTGAAACTGCTACTTGGTGACGTCACAAAAGCGGAAGGTGAAATAGAGATGTGCGGGGAGGTGTCTTACGCCTCTCAAGATCCTTGGCTGTTTCCCGCGACGGTTAGGCAAAATATTATTTTCGCAGAAGAGTTCGATGAAAAGCGTTATCGGAAAGTGATCGAAGTTTGCGCATTAGAACACGATTTTGACGCGTTTCTGAGTGGTGATCAAACGTGTGTTGCTGATCACGGATTAAATCTCAGCAAAGGTCAAAAAGCGCGAATAAACTTGGCGAGAGCCATTTATAAGAAAGCCGACATTTACTTATTGGACGACTGCTTGTCGTCAGTCGATAGCTGTGTAGCCCAACATATTTACAATGAGTGCATAAGAAGGTTTTTGAAAGATCATCTGTGCTTGCTTGTGACGCACAGTGCGCTGGCATTAGATGACACGGATCATGTACTTATTTTAAGCAATGGACAATTGAAATTCCACGGTGACTTTAGTAGTTTTAAAAAATTGAATGACGTTAATTCAGTGCTCCGTTGCAACAAGCTAGACGAACCCCAAACGCTTAATAAAGCAGGAGATTTTAATGATGCTTGTGACGCCGACGAATCGTCTTTACTGCTTCAGAGTAGAGGAGAAGTTCCAAATCTCTACGAAGAAAGCAATCGCGAAGGGCAGGTCGACAAAGCAGTTTACTATGCATACTTTGTTTCCGGTGGCGGCTTGAAGATGTTCTTGATAGTTGCTCTTTGTTCAGTAGTCGCCCAAGCCACATCTAGTTGGTCGGATTATTTCGTCAGCTTTTGGTAAGTACGTTTCTGCACGTTAAAAACCGTAACCCAAGTATTTTAGGGTAGACATGGAACAAGAGCTCTCTGGATTTCGTTTAAACCAAACCACAAATTCGACAGAGTACCAAAAATTAGAAGAATCTCACGACAACGTTATGCGATTGTACTCATTTGTGATGCTGGGTACAGCAATATTTACAATACTTCGGGCTTACACGTTTTACACCTTCAGTAGCAAAGCGTCTACGAATATACACAATTCGGTCGTAGATCGCATTTTGAACACTGGAATGATGTTCTTCGATAATAATTTATCCGGAAGTGTACTTAATCGATTTTCCCGGGATTTGGGAATCATAGACGAGCAAATGCCTAACGTCCTGTTTGAATGTAGTAGTGTAAGTATTGACGCAATTTTTATTATTATTATTAGCAACATATGAAACAAAGTACCACGCTCAAGCGATCGATTGAAAGAAGCAATTAAAGAAAACATAACTACATTAACGCGTTAAAAATCCAAAATATGCGGCCAATTACGCTTTTTGTAACTGATGCACAAACATCAAACGCTGATACTTCGTAACTTTACTTCTTTTATTGCACATGAATCTCCATTTAAACGACAGTGGCTTTATTTGAAATACAGATGTAAAATTTTCTCTTTGATGGTGAAAAAAAACTCCCTTTAACGGGGACTGAGGCTTCACGTAGGCGATAAACGCTTGAACGACATTACTCCGAATAACTTTTTCGTAAGCACACTACACGTTTACGCTTAACTCGACTTAAACATTCACTTTAATCGACGTAGTAGGTTAAATCTCTTAGAGCATACAACTGACTTTCTTTTACAAAACCTTTCTTATCACCAAGACTGAACGTCTTGCAACAAATCACTGCTGCTGACTGCGATATACTAATTGTCTCCACCACCAAAAAAAGCAACGATTAACGTCCGTTTCTCCTACTTAAAACATCAGCTTACGCAGCGATATCGCTCTTATCGCAATGACCAGAGATGAGATAAATTTTTACAAAACACTACATGCAAATCTATCTGAATAATAATACAAACAAATTCATCATTATAGTTATTTATGTATCAAGGGCATTAAGGCGATATTTATGCCGAGGGCGACAGAGCCGGAGGGCCTCTGGCTCGAGGGATTGTAAGTCGCCCGAGGGTTAAATATCGAGTAATGCCTGAGGTGCATACAAAATTTTATTTTTCATCGTTCCAAATAATGTATTTCCAATATACAAATGTAATGATTATTGTTAGTGCCTCATACGAATCAAGTAGCATCTTTTTTTATTACATAACTCCCATCAATATATTTGACAGGCAGTTTGAGGGCATAATGAGAGGGCATAATGGATTGTCATCTCATTATGCCCTCGAGGGTCATAGACTGCTTTATATGTTTCATATGACAGATATAATTGGCACATAATAGGCAAATGAAAAATAAAATAAATAATTCTAAAAATCAAAAATACTTGGATACATGATTGAAATTCTGAATTAGAGACAAACATTTAACGTCAAAAATAATTAAAATTTGACACATACAGGGTGCCCAACCTTCTGAACTCAGAGCCTTTACTTATTCTCATTCTACTTCCAGAAACACAATTTTCGGACATTTATGCTTCATGCGTTTGTCCTCTTCGTATGTGTGCAGATCCATTGTTAGCTCGTTTTGGTAGTTTCACAGGCCGCCGAAGGTTTTTGCCGCTGCGTTGGCGATTTCTTTGATGGCGGGCACGTCCAAATGTCGTTGCCGCACGAACCACAGCCATTTTCAATGCCTTGATTAGAACTATCTGCCGTTTTGTGATGTCATAATCAGGGTACCGAAGGGCAGCAAGCCATCGTCGGTCGTGCGACCGACGTGTACAGTCGTACTTGTTGTTAATGCTTAGTACGCTCTCCTTGTTAAGGAAAGGGTACGACACCGTCATTTCCGTGCGACCCGTTGGACCCGTGTGGTTGCTTTATTTGACGTGAGCGCTCTACGTCAGACGTCACGACGCCAAGGTACTTCGATTCCTCTAGGGAGTGACATTTCCGGTGAATGGCGAGGTGAGTTCTTAGGACACCCTTCCGGAATCCGATTGGTATTGGGTATTGCTGCCCCTCAGGATCACAGTTTCTGCTTTGTTAGGGATAAGCAGGCTCATCCGACTGATCGGGGGATTGTTCTACGGGAACTTCGTGGAGTAGTCAGGTTTCTGTAACATAATTAAGTCGGCATACGGCATGTTTCGACTGTGATGGAAAGTACCATGTTCCCGATTCCGTCCGAGCCCGATGCGTTCCTCGGTCGTGGTCCCCATTGGTTCTTCGTTTTCTCGGCGTAGGAATCTTCTTACCTTATGGTTGATGACGTCGAAAAAGTTTAGATCCGCGTTTCCGTAGTTGGGAGAAAAATTACGTTTTAGACACTCCGCAAAGGTGTCGGTCTTCTCGGCGTATATATACATCAGGTCTCCGGCTCCGTACAGCGGGAGGGATCTCAGTAGGTTACGACGCAGCGTCGTCCCCATCTAAAGGGAGCTCAAGAATCGCAGGCGGTTCCCTCGGGACTCGTTTCTGAAGTTGGCGATGGCGATATTGGTCCCCTACTGAAGTCATTGGAAATCAGCTCGCTCTAACAGATTCCATAAACGCTGGAAGCGCGTTCTCGATCGGTTTATCTCTCCCAAGATGAAGATCGTCTCTGCGCTCTCGCAGCGACTTCGTGGTATCTCGTAGAGTGGCTTTGCAAACTCGCCGTCTATCGCTTCAAAATCCTCAACATCGTCGATTACCTATCGGTCGATCGCCTGATATTGTTTATCCTGCATCTCAACATATTTCAGGATATTGTAGTTCGAAACCCTACGGTCACACGAAAGATCCCATGTGTTTAGATCCCCGGCGATGGCCATGGCACATCCAGATCTTCGTTCATCTCTATACTTTGAATTGGCGACGTAACACGCTTTCACGTAGATAGCGGTAACGCCTGCTTTCGCATTTGGTTGGCATCATAGGGGTTTTCTCAGCGCGTAGGTGGGTATCGTACACCAGCCAGACATCGACATCTTGCGTATGTGCTTTATTAAATGCACAGCTCCAAAAGAGGCACACACAAACATCTCCTTCAGGGTTCCCGCCACAACCCATATAGTGCAGAATCGACTGGATACTGGCCGTCGGCTTGGAATCCGGTTTCGGTGCCCCTCCTCCTCTGGTTTCGGGATGAGTCTCAGCGGTTTGGATGCGTCTCGACGGGCGCAGTTGCGGCTGAAAGAAGAAGCGGAAATGTTTCGCATTCTTCGGAATTTTCGGGTTACGCAAGACACTCTTTCGTATGTTGGCTTGATGCACTCTGCGGTCAAGTGGGAGCTGACGCAATTCACGCAGCGAGCGTCAGTGTGGCCGAATCGCTTTGAATGATGGAAGCCGTGACAGCAGGGACTTTGTCCTACGATGGGTTTCCTTTTAAGGGACGCGAATCCGTACCATTGGCACGTGGACCTTGACAAATGTCCTCTTACAGGTTGTTCTTGGTAACTGAACCAATACCAATGATATCTCAAGCCTGTCGCTTTCGCGCCCGATTGAAGCTATTGAGGTCATTGTGCATCTTCGATCCACCAGAACAAGAGAGGGATAATAAATAAATAAATATCTATGGCAGCGATTTCTACGAGGCTCCGGATAATCACCTTTAGAATTTTCTTTTCTTCAAGTTGAGATGTGAGCTAAGGCAATTGCAACTCCTCAAGGGTTTTAGTGATGTCGGCCAGGGTGGAGGTTTGAAACGTTTTTGGTCGTCGTAAACGTCAGTTTTTACTCGTGGATCTGTCGAGCAAACGCCACTCATTTATCCTTATTGTCCTGATACGTTGGAAGTGCTCTTAATCTTTAGCCACCTGCAGAGCTGAATACCGCCTCTTCTTGTTGGTAGTGAAAGTGACTTTTTTCCATCGGCTCGGATGGTGAAAGTGGTGGGGTTGGTACACTTAGTGCAGATTTCGAATAATAATAATTAACTAAAACAAATCTGTAATCCCTAAACGAGCTTCTGTGACACTGTGTTTCAGACTTTTGGCATTAGAAAACACTGTTATTGTGTAGAGTCTTCAGCAAGACAGATACAAAGTATCCAAAATTCCTGAACAAGCTTTTCAGCCGATTTTTCTATTTTTTCATCACACATCAAAAGTCGAAAAATCGTTTGCATTAACCATTCTCTTTTCAGGTTATTTTGTCCGTGCTAGCAGTTCTGTTCGTGGTATCATCCGTCAATCTCTACTTCATCATTCCATCGACAATTTTCACAGCAATCCTATATTTGGCACGGCGGTTCTATATGCCCACCGGCAGAAGCTTGAGACGACTGGAAGGCGCCAGTAAGGTACTCGAATAAACGATTACCAAATTATCATTGTTCATTTTAGCAAGGAGTCCAGTAATAGGCCACTTAAATGCAACCTTAGATGGTTTGACTACGATCAGGGCAAGCAAAGCTCAAGATATTTTACGAAAGGAATTTGACAAGCACCAGGATCTGTACAGTTCTGTTGTTTATATGAACATCGCCACTGCCAGGGCATTTGGATTTTACTTGGACGTCACTTGCTGTATATACATTACAGTTATAACACTTTTGTTTCTGTTCTTTAAGTCAGGTAAGGCAAGACTTTCTAACTTCCAATCCTAACACGGTGCATTTAGAGACACTTGCCGGGAAAGTTGGTTTGGCCATCACTCAATCGTACACACTCACTGGATTACTGCAATGGGGGATCAGGCAATGGGCCGAACTCGAAAACCAAATGACCTCCACGGAGAGAGTGTTGGAGTACAGGAATTTGGACCTTGAAGATAAATCTGGTTGCAGATTGGACAATTGGCCCAATCACGGCGCCATTGAATACCGTAATGTCAGTTTGAGATATTTTGCCGGAGGCGAAAGAGTGTTGAAAAACTTAAACCTTCACATTAAATCGAAAGAAAAGGTTGGAGTTGTTGGCAGGACTGGGGCTGGGAAAACGTCGGTAATTTCGGCACTGTTCCGAATGTACGAGTACGACGGAACCATTTTAATCGACGGTATCGATATCCAATCCGTGGCGGCGGATTATCTTCGATTAAAAATTTCTATTATCCCTCAGGATCCGGTGTTATTTTCTGGAACAGTTAGAAGCAATTTGGATCCGTATTCGGAACATTCGGATAAAACTCTCTGGGATGCTTTGGACGAAGTGGAAATGAAGCGGTGTTTTAAAAGTTTAGATGCTACCATTGTGGAAGGTGGAATGGGAATGAGTGTTGGGCAAAAGCAGTTGTTCTGTTTGGCTAGAGCGGTTGTGCGAGACAACAGTATTTTAGTCTTAGATGAGGCTACCGCTAACATTGATCTCCAAACTGATGCGTTAATACAAAGAACAATTAAAAGAAGGTTTTCCGACTGCACCGTTATTACCATAGCTCATCGACTTCACACAATAATGGATTCAGATAACATAATTGTAATGGATGCGTCAGAGTGTGTGCAGTTTGGACCACCCAGCGTACTACTAGCCGACGAAAATAATTTATTTTATGGTATGGTGAAGGAAGCCGGATTGTTGTAGATCATACGATTAAATGCCAGTTTGTACCTTCCATCTTAATTTGATTGCTCTGATGATGAATGCAATTTACTCCCAATTGCAGCGAAGTGAGAACCAAAGTGGAAAACTGCCCGAAGTGCCGAATAAATTGCTTGATAAGATCTTAGTGAAGTTTTGCTTTGCACTTCAAATTCAATCATAACCTCAGTAAACTCAGTAACAGACGATTATATTGTTTTTGTAATTGGGATCAGGACACGTTAAAGCTTTCTGTCGTGAAACTTTTGACACTTGACTAAGCTCTCTACATGCGGTTAGGATATGTACAACAGCGTGACCGAAAATTCACCCAGTTCTCATTGGATTTTAGATTTAAAGGATAAACGTTATATAAAAATAATAGTTTAAGTTGTTAAAATCCTTGAAAAACCTTTCTTGCTTGTGCTCTCTCTCTCATCATAATTTACATGGTAATCGCAATTGTCGTCCTTAAAAAGGTTTTCCTTAGGTTCAAAGGGTCATGGTAACCCCCCCTTTTCTCGCCTTAGCCCCCCTATGTACGAGTATATGATTTTAAACCCGCTATCGAGTCTACCAAACCTATAGCTGCGTGTAGGAAGTGACAGTAAACTTCTTTGTTGTTACAATCAATTAGGTATTTTGATGTCTGCACCCTCGTTCCCTTCGCTAACCGTTCGTAAACAATTACGCCAAGTACCCAGTGGACCAACCGAAGGAGCTTGCCACCACTGAAGAGTTCCGGACCGTTTTCCTGAGCACAATTGAAGAGCTTGATGCAGCTCCTTGCTACTTTTTCTCTGCCACGATCGTCTGATGTTTTCCTTACATCAGAATTTCTGCGGAGAGTTAAATCAGAGCGATTTCAGTCGTGACGAAAAACGCTCTCACAATTACTAGAGTGGTGGAGCAATTAACGAATACTTAATGAATATGTCAGTAGTGTACGACTATATATGGTACAGTGCATTCTAGTTAAAACGAGCCATCTTGAATATTGATATTGATACAAAAATCGTGAAACACGTCAACTTTGATTTTTAGAGAGGCAAATCTCGCACGGCACAGTATGCATATGAAGAGTACCTACTATCAAAAAAAGGAATTGCCACTACTACGCTTTTCTTTAGATTATTTATTTACTTGTTGGCACTATTAATGAAATTCGAAATTAATAGTACTGCAATGTAATATCTTTTCATTTATTATTGATTAATTGCATTAAATACATAATAATTTGACTGTAGCTATTATAAGTCTTGCATGTGGTTTAATTGCTTCGAGATGAATTAATCTTTCACCAGCCACTGAGGGCGTATTTAAGAACTGACTTAATTAAAATTAAGCCGCAATTATGCGTTGCTCTTATGTTCTTACTTTCTTTTACCTAATGTGTAGCACGTTTTGCGGAATTATATTATTATTATTTCCGAAACTTTTGTCTTTGTGAAATGAGAAGGCTAACGTCAATTACTTGTAATTGGAAATAAATATACCGCAAATACGCGAGTAGTTAACGTATATTTTGTTAAATTTAGCTGAAAACCGTAATTATTTCCTTTTGCTTGCATTTTTTGTATTTGCCTTTTCTTAAAATTTTATCACTCCATTGGAGTTATTGAGATAAAGTTGTATTAGTTCGAGTGTTGCCAAACTTACGACAGCTCTCCTACATTAATAGTTTACAAAAAAACTTCCAGCGGAAGGCGCAAATAAAGAAGCGTCTGAGCATCACGATCAGGAGCCACATCGACCTCCTGCAGGAGTTAATACATCCCCCATCCGGCCCTTCCTGAGGAACGCGGAAACAACAACCTTCATTAATCTGGTCTCGCCAGTAGTATTTGTAACGTTGTAATTATTCTAAGTTAGTCAGTACGAATTTCCCTTGTTACGGCACTGGCGGGGGGAATGCGATGTAACCTTCAATTGTTAGTTTTGACGATTGTGGGTTTCGGCATTGGTACCTGCGCGATTGGCGGGGGAGGAAAATTCGTGCGTGACTTACTTTCTTTTCGTTGCTCGTTTTGGGAAGACGCAAAAGTGTCGGTTGAATATTAGTTCGCTGGTGTAATGTCGTAAAAGATTGGTTTCCGTCATCTATTGAAGTATTACCTTTCACGGAATCATCTTATTAAACTATGGATTGATAGTTTTTTTTTGGTTAATCAATATCGTAGTGAACTCTTTTGAGAGGCTTTTAAACGAATTACCAGCGAAACTATGTAAGTAGATATACGGGATTAATATCTCGGCCATTATAATGTTCATTTTTAGTGACCGTATCTTCCTGATCGTTATTAATTATCATACAACGTCAATCTTTCCAATAGACCTTCTTTAATAAGAGGTAAAGAGGGTTATGCGTACTAAAATGCACCGTTTTAAACAATCGCTTTTTAGGGTCCTTGTATCCCGTGTAAATTTGCACATTAACATATGTCACCGGAGGGACGTCCATTTTGAATTATTACCAACAGATGCCTTCATCTGAATACACATTCAGCAGTAATCAGCCGTTTGGAACCACGAGATAGAATACATGACCTATATCTGAGCTTATCACCGTCGACATAATTACTTAGCCTATATCAATTATCTGACCAGTTTTGGGGAAATTTTCACTATTTTAAATCACTGATTATATTATTGTTGGGCCGCTACTGTTACACTTCCTTATTCCGGTAACAGTCAGTGTATAATATTCCAGGTAATAAGGTGGCGCCCTTACTGCTTTGCTCTAGCATACCTAATTATTAGATGAGAGGAACGGAATCCAGTGCCCGCAGAGCCCGAACGATACCTAATGACCCTTGAGTGCTCAAGCTTACCCCGATTAATAGTCACCCCTGAGCTAGTTGGCCGATTAGCGGCGGGTTTGAGCAAATTCACCGTTATATATTGAAGATGACTGCACGGCATTCGCACACGACATTCCATTACCACCGAAACCAGAAAACACTCCCAGTGTCACCACTGCCCGGAGTTTTCACCGCAACTGCCCAGCTCTAGCCAGGGAAACACCCAACTAATCCACTTCAGAACCGAACCCAACCTCCCGACTAGGGAATGCAATACCGGGATCGCGAAATCCCGAAAAACCGGGTATCCCGCAGCCTTTTTGCGGGATTAATCCCGTACGTAAATGGAGCGAGATCCCGCGGGATTTGCGGGATTGCAGGATTTATCGACCAAGCTTACCGAACCATACATTAGCAACTCTGCGAATTTGATTATTCCGCATATTTTTGTTGTTGCAGTTTATGCAATAATTACGTGCAAACCTGCATCTGTTATTAATTTTGTTAAACAGCGAGTGAGTGCGCAAATCGCTAATTTTTACTATTTTAAAACGCAGAAACTGTTATTCTTCTAGATAATATGTCGGACTCGTCGATTGTTTATAAAACAGTTCAGTAGAAAAGTGGCTGTATGGAAATATTGCAGCGAATATTCTAGAAATCCAGATAGACGTGGAGGAGCCATAAAAGATTACTCACCGGCGACAAGAAAAGTCGGCAGATGTGATGAATTTTTTCCGCCAAATAGAATGTGTTATCTTGAGAATATTCCGTTAACTGCACAAAATTGCTAATTTCCGAATGTTTTTAAAAATTTTCGGGATCCCGCAAATACCGGGATCCCGCGGGATTTCTTACTAATGATCCCGCAAATACCGGGATCTAAATTTTGCTGCGGGATTGCATTCCCTACTCTTGACGCTGCTAATCAATGTGGACGGCACTGATGAGACTGCCCTCTTGGATTCCGGGTCGACCTACAACTTCGTAGGACAAGAGGTCGCTTCGGAGATTCGACACTGCATGGACACAACAGCCAACCTAGCAGACTCGAGCCACTTCATCCACATCTCAGGCATCACCACCATCCAATACAGTATCGACGGATAGGTAGAGCGAGCGAGACCAATTCATCGAATCTCCTCGAATCACCCATCATCCTCGGCCAAACTTGGCTAAAGAAACAAAAGGCCGTACTGAATTACGGACGGGCCACCATCCAGCGGGGGACGACCCAATGCCGCACGGAACATTGGTCCAGGAAGATTAACACTCCCACAGCCTAGCCCACTATCACTACAAAGGACGTCCAACTCGGTTCCCACTGCCGTTCATACCCCAACTGCTGCGAACGCGCCTTGCCATCCACCACGCCGATTTCGACTACGCCCAGATGCAACTATTCGAGTACCCCCGTACAAGTATTCCCCGAAGAAGAAGCAATGATCGCCGACGAACTCGAAGTAAGGTTGGCGACCGGGATAATCGAGCATAAATAGTACGTCAGGGTCCCATCGTGATGGTCAAAACGAAAGACGGGAAACCCAGGTACTGTGTGGACACCGGAGAGGACGTGAGCCATATCGCCTACACCGCCCCGACCACGTCACCACAGCTTATTACAGCGACAGGACCAGAACGCCACTAGTCATTTGCAGCGGGGGAGTACCAAGGAGACCAAAAGAGACACCCCCATTGCCTGTAGGAGTTGGCAGATTGAAGCTTGGCGCACCGCATCACTCAGCCACCGCACGGACAACGGCGACGCAATCCCACGACGCCACCGCGTTACTGTTATAATTTGTATATAATCGTGTAAGTTGAATTAATAAACCTCGTTGAAGTAGTGTTGCCGAACTCCACCCCGCCGACACGCCGCCTGGTAACAGCTGATCTTCCGCGATGGCAACATTCTTGCTTTCTTGGAAAAGCTGCAACAACCTTCGATCGGGACGTGAAGGTGGCTTAATGGATATGATTGCTCGATTTTTTGAAACTTGAAAATTGCACAACGCGCTCTGCAAAAACAACCAGCTCAGATGCGGCACCGCGTACTGTTGCGTAATAAATGCCCTTTCCCACTATCTTTACTCATAGATGTTGATTCCTCATTGTATTTTGTGACTTCAATAGGAGCGGCGATGAATGATAATTTACTCCGGGCGCTATTATAAGCTTTTTGTCCTTCGTCATTCGGTTACGAGATATTTAACTCGCTCTCTTTGCTCTTATTTTAATTACAATGGCTCGCTTCATTTACCTTATCCCGAATATACACACGTAGTGCAGTATGTATGATTTATAACGGGCGATTTTTGATTGCATAGTATATGAAATAGAATTTAATTTCTAACCGCCCTTTATATTTCAAATTCCCTTTTAGCTTCCTTGCGGTTAAATAAAAACCAACTTGGGTTATGAATAAATGAAATAATTAATTTATAGCTGCATATCTCCATTCAGACTATGCATTTTTATTAAACTGTACCATTTTCTGTATTACTGATTTTGACACCTTCTTTAAACACTTGACATCTTAGTTCTTAATTTTTTATTAATTTATTTAATTATTTATTGCATACAAACCGTATCATCCTACGATAGGGCCATATGACAACAACAGTAAAAGTGGCGTGAACAAGTTTGTTTTTAATGAAGTCAGTGGTGATGTCATAACGAAAATAATCTGTTCACTGTCATCAAACGCGAACGGAATAGATAACATTAGCCTAAAACTTCTAAAAATTATTGCCCCTTATTGCATAAATCATATAACACATATTCTTAATACTTCGTTGTCTTTATCTGTCGTGCCCAGCATATGGAAGAAATCTATCATAATCCCTGTTCCTAAAACCTCTAACCCAGCAAACATGAACGATCTTAGACCTATCAGTATTTTACCAACTTTATCTAAAATATTGGAAAAAGTGGTACATCAACAGTTATATAGCCATGTTGAACGCTATGTAATACCCGATGTACAATCTGGCTTCAGACCATTCCGCAGCACAAACTCGGCTCTTCTAAAACTAACCAACGACTTTGCAGCCAGTATAGATAAAATGGAAGTCAATGTACTTATACTCCTTGACTACAGCAAAGCTTTTGATGTAATTAATCACGAATTGCTACTTGCGAAACTTGCATATTACGGGCTTTCTGATAGCGCTTTAATATGGTTTAGAAGCTACCTGTGTAACAGGGCTCAGTGTGTCAAGATGTACAACGTGATGTCTGATGAAATGAGTGTCATCAAAGGAGTACCGCAGGGCAGCATCCTTGGGCCTCTTCTGTTTATCGTTTTCATCTCTGACTTACCATCAGTAACTACTCCCGATTGTAAATTACTTCAATATGCTGACGACACTCAGCTGTACGCCTCTTCCTCTCCACATAAAATTAATGAAGCTATACAATCTATCAACCTCAATCTCCAACGGATATCTGATTGGTCGACTGCTAACGGACTGATAATCAATCCTTCAAAAACAATAGCTATGTGTGTTGGTTCTAGTGCTATGCGCGTACGTGCTTTTGAACATCTCACTGTGCGGATATCTATAAACAATATCGAAATAGAATTCTCTGAAGAGGCAAAGAATCTAGGTGTATGGTTTGACAGTAACTTGAACTTTGAAAAACATACTAAAATGATGTTACAATCATCATTTGTTAAATTTAAGCACTTTTATAGTTTTAAGAAGATTTTGCCAGCTACTATAAAATGGTCTCTTGTTCGAAATTTAATATTAACTCGCTTTTACTATTGTTGTGCTGTATACTACCCTTTCCTAACTGGTGAATTAAAGTACAAAATTCAGCTCCTGCAAAACTCTTGCTTACGTTTTTCTTTTAATGTTAACTTTAGATACCATGTAACTCCGTTTTATTATAGATACTCTATCCTTAAAATGAAAGAATCACTCACGTCTCAATATATCATGCTTCTATATAATGTAGTACGTCATAAAAATCCAAATTACCTGTACGACTTACTACAATTAAGGTCCGATTTGCACTGTGTGAATACTAGGCATAAGTATTTCTATAATATACTTACCCCCATACCGTACTTCTAAGTACCAATGTGCATTTGCCATTTTAGCGCCTCGCTTAATAAATGAGTTTATGTCCATATTAGAAAGTGGAAATAGTGTACCTACAATTAGAAACAAATTAAAAAGTCGTTTGCTACAACTATATGCTGTATAGATATAGGTAGGCATAATAAGTAACCTCTTGTCTAATTACTATTTGTTGTAACAGTTGCTTTTGGTGGAGTGGAAGAACAGCTATAAGCTGAACTCCTACCTTTTGTGTATAGCTTTCTGCACAATAAATATTATTATTATTATTATTATTATATGACTACTGACTGCCGTTTTCCACCACGGCAGATCGTGGAAGATGTTAGAATATGTAACATGTGATATACTTAAGTAGGTACGAGGCTTGTCCAGAAAGAAGCAGACGTTTTGAAATAAAACTTTTTAAACTTGTAAAGAAAATCTATTATTGTATACATTTGGGGCACTCTTGGGCTATTTATCAACACAAGCGCCATTCAAATTAAGGGACTTATCATAGCGTGGGACAAGTGTTTTGATTCCAACTTTTATAGGTAAATCAGCCGCCTGAGATTTTAACCTGCACTGCGCAACGCTGACATGAAGTTCGGCGTCCCTATCGAACCGCTGCGTTGCGAGCCAGGTCTTCATCGCTGGGAAGAGGTGGAACTTTTGTTGTTCGACGACAATGCCAAGCGACTTCCACCTCTTTCCAGCGATGAAGACCTCGCTCGCAACACAGCACATGAACAGTGATGCCGAACTTCAAGCCGGCGATAACCAGTGGTTGAAGTCTCAGGCGGCGGATTTATAAAAGTTGGAATCAAAACACTAGTGCCACGCTATGATAAGTGCCTCAATTTGAATGGCGCTTGTGTTGATAAATAGTCCAAGTGTGTAGCCCCCAAATGTATACAATAATAGATTTTCTTTACAAATTTAAAATTTTTTATTTCAAAACCCTGCTACTTTCTGGCCAACCCTCGTATATATGCATCAATTATCAGAAGCACCAATTTGATGAGCAGCAATCTTCTATGAACTGTGGGTGTTTATTAACGTGCACTATGGTATGAACATATTGACCTATGACCTCAATATTTTATTGCGTTGAACTTTTAAAACGTAATATGGTACTTGTCATTTGTATTTAATAACTTAATTGCAGGTGAAACTGTTACCGGCTGCTCTTGCTGGTCAGATCTATAACCTTGATCTTTTTTCATGATGACCACCCACAGGAGTAATTAATTAGCTTACTGAAAGTGTAATAAGGAAGTTATGTGGTGTTAAATTTCAAACTAAAACAATACAAGCACCATTTTTTAACAGAATGAACGCAACATTTCGGATCGTACAAACAATTTACATAATTCTGTGTTTATTCCAATTTTATCATCTTTAGGTACAGATAAGATGTAAATACTTACTACAGTATTGGCTTCGCTTGTTTAATTGGTGAAATAATAATGGACTGTAGCGACCAGAAAATTCGCACTCAAAATCCGCGTGGAAAAGCGGGCCTCTTTAACATACTTTTATTCAAGTAAGTAGGTAAATTTCAACATTAATTTTTTCATTAAAATGCCCAATATAGGTATGCGTTTAATATTATTTATACTGGAACACGAAGGAATTTGAACATGGACGATATATACGAAGTTTTGCCCAACTTCGAAGCGAGCCAGTTGTACAGTCGCATGAATCAAGAGTGGCAAAAGGAATTGAAAACGTCAAAAAATCCATCAATTTTCAAAATTTTTCTTCGTATGTTTGGTTGGGAATTTGCTCTATGGGGAATTGGCATTTTCATCGCTGTACTATTTATTGGAGAGTAAGTATATTACTAAAATACCTTCTCCATAATGAATTCGTTAGCATGGCACATACGATCGTAATGGGAAAATTCATGACGTACTTTGAACCTGGAACTAATGTTACTCTAAAGGAAGCTTTGTTATACGCATCGGGTTTAATAGGGGCAAAGGTAGTAGTACAGCTCTATGATAACACGTACCTCCTAGCGGTATGGTCAATTGGTCTTCGAATGCAAATAGCGTGTAATACCATGGTATACAGAAAGTGCCTCAGGCTCAATTCAAAAAATCAAAATAATCATGGAAGAGCAGTGACGATTATTACCAAGGATATCGCCCAACTTTTGACGGTTGCAGATTGTGCACATATGCTTCTCATCGGCTTCCCCAAATTTTTTGTGATGCTATACATTATGTATACCTATATTGGTGTTTCTGCCCTAGCCGGCGCTGCGATTGTGATGGCAACTGTGCCGGTAAATGGTAAGTACCTTTTTAATGGGGTCGATCAGAGGCAAATTGGAAACGAAACTAATTTTGAATTTTCCATTAGCGCTCTTGGGAATACTCATCTCAAAATATCGACTGAAAACTGCGGCTCAAACTGATCAAAGGGTGAAGATCACTCAAGAAATGCTAACAGCAATGCGAATAATTAAAATGCATACCTGGGAAAAGTTCTTCTCGAACACAATCGATAAGCGTCGCGGGTTAGTAGATACTCCCCGAAATGTGGATACTTATATCAGATTGCATTTCAGCAAAGAAATGAAGATCTTGAGAATAGTGTATTACCTAAAAGCGGTCGTCTTTGCGATCGGCCAACTCTCCTACCGGTTCGCATTTTACGTTTGCGTTCTTACCTACGTTGCTTTAGGCAACCACGTCACGGCGGAGAAGGCCTTTGTGATTATCGGATGTTTTGGGGCATTTGAATCTCTTCTCACCGACTACATGCCGAATGGCATACCGCAAATGGCCGAGTATAAGGCGTCCTTACTACGAATAACAAACTTCCTTATGCTCGAAGAGGTTCCAACTCCACTCAGTGGGGATATACACAACTCAATAGATCGAACGATTGATCTCAAAGGTGCTACTGTCACCACTGAAGGTGCCACAGTCTTGGCTGGTATAAGTTTAAATGTTTCCGGCGGGTTAACGGTCGTGGCTGGCCCAACGGGTTCAGGTAAGTCTACGTTGCTGAAACTGTTGCTACACGATGTACCTGCAAATAGTGGCGAAGTTAACGTTTGCGGCAAAGTATCTTATGCGTCCCAAGAACCGTGGATATTTCCTTCCACAATACGCCAAAACATAACCTTCGGCGAGTCATTCAATGAGAAAAGGTATCAAAGGGTAATTGAAGTATGCGCTTTGATACACGATTTTAATGCACTGCCGAATGGAGATCAAACATTTGTGTCAGATCGTGGGCTAAACTTAAGCCGAGGGCAAAAAGTCAGAATCAACCTAGCTCGAGCCATTTATAAGGAAGCAGATATTTATTTACTGGACGACTGCTTATCTTCTGTAGATGGACGCGTTGGTAAACATATTTTCCATGAGTGCATCAAGGGATTTCTGAAAAACTTTGTGTGCGTACTCGTCATAAATAACCCGCTTCCTTTGGAAGATAGTGACAACGTGATTGTTTTGAACAAAGGACGCTTAGAATTCCACGGTACCTTCAACAACTTTAAAGAGTGGAACAATCAGGAGGTTAAGTTAGAGCTTAACTGGGATGCCTTATACGAATCGCAAAATTCAGAAAAAAATGAAGCACAAGCGTTAGTTCCAAATGAGGCATGCTCTGCCAACGTTTATGAGGAGTTCAACAAAGAAGGAAAGGTTAAAAAGTCCGTCTATTATGCGTATTACCTCTGTGGAGGAGGTTGGAAAATATTCCTTATAGTTGCCATTTGCTCCATCGCAGCTCATGCCGCGGCCAGCTGGACGGATTATTTCGTCAGTTTTTGGTAAAACCACAAGTGACCTACACTGCCATGCTAACCATGTGAACTTTAGGGTTGACATGGAACAAGAGCTTTCTGCTTTTCGCATGAACCAAACGACGAATTTACCCGAATACAGAAATTTAGAAAGCAGGTATGAGATAATAATGACAACATACTCACTTGTAATGCTCGCTGCTGCTGTCTTTACTGTTTTACAAGCGCTCACATTTTATTTTTTCACCATTAAAGCATCGATTAAAATACATAAGACGGTTATAGGAAAAATAATAAACGCATTTATGACATTTTTCGATAATCACTTGTCGGGAAATGTTCTCAATCGGCTCTCACGCGATGTAACGATAATCGACGAGCAAATGCCTTGCGTCATGTTGGATTCCCTAAAGGTAAGAATGCTCACAACTCCATCAAAGTCCTGATGGGAAATTAAAGGTTATCCTGTCAATGTATGGTGTACTGATAATAATCACGTCTGTTAATTGGTACTTCATAATACCATCTATTATACTAACTGCAGTTGTATACCAAACACGGCGAATGTATATGAACACTGGTCGGTGCTTGAAAAGATTGGAAGGAGCTGGTAAGTTGAGGTTGGAAGTCACCTGTTTTCATATCGACACTTTCAGCAAGAAGTCCATTAATAGGCCACCTGACTGCTACTCTAGAAGGGCTAACGACAATGCGGGCAAGTAACGCTCAAGCAAGACTGTCGAACGAATTTGAAAGACATCAAGATTTGTACAGTTCGGCGCTTTATATGAACCTGGCGACATCCAGAGCCTTTGGATTTTATTTAGACGCAACTGGCACTATATACAGCAGTATAATAATTTTCTCATTCTTGATTTTAAAAACAGGTAACGCATGATACTCGAAATGTACCCTAAACGAAACTTGTTTAGACACACGCGCTGGATTAGTGGGACTGGCCATATCGCAGTCTTTTTCCTTACTTGGTTTGCTGAAATGGGCTGCTCGACAATGGGCTGAGCTAGAAACACAGATGACGTCGACGGAACGACTTCTTGAATATAGGGATAGAATCGTCGAAGTTCCCTACGGGAAAATACCAGACAGTTGGCCAAGCACCGGAGCTATTAAATACGAAGGTGTCACTTTACGGTATTCGAGTTGTGGGAAGACAGCGTTAAAGGATCTAAACTTTCACATTGGATCCAAAGAAAAAGTCGGTATTGTTGGAAGAACCGGTGCTGGAAAAACGTCAATCATTTCGACGTTATTTCGACTGTATGATTACGAAGGGAATATTTTTATTGACGGTATAGACATTAAATCAATACCGATCAATTATCTTCGATCTAAATTGTCGATCATACCGCAAGATCCTGTGCTTTTTTCGGGTACAGTCAGAACCAACTTAGATCCGTATTGCGAATTCTTAGATGAGGTACTGTGGGATGCTTTAGAAGAAGTGGGGATGAAAAATGCATTTGCAAATTTGGATGCCGAAATTATGACAGGAGGAACAGGGTTAAGTGTTGGAGAAAAACAACTCTTTTGCTTGGCAAGAGCCATCTTGCATAATAACTCCATTTTGGTGCTGGACGAGGCGACTGCTAATATCGATCCGGAAACCGACACTCTTATTCAGAAGACAATCAAACAAAAGTTTACAAATTGCACTGTAGTCACCATCGCCCACAAACTTCGAACGGTGATAGATTCGGACAGTATTATTGTTATGGACGGGGGTGTGATATGCCAATTTGGACCACCCAAGAGTTTACTAGAAGATGAAGAAGGTTTATTTTATCGTATAGCTCAACAAGCTAGATTGGTTAGTTGATGGTTGGGGAAATGGTTATTATAGTTAATTATTTGTGAGTCTAAAATTAAGTTCCTCTGCTAGAAATACAAATTCCGTTTTTGGAAACATTATTGGATGTTAAAACTTAACAACGCACATTAAAATCTAAGACGTAACTGGGTATTAGTTATCTAAACTCATGTAAGTACTGTGGTGAGCCTTGGGTTAATGCACTGATTTATATACTACTCACCTTCTCTTAGACTCGGACTTCCCAGATGATAGTGTTAGATCTTACGTTATGTGTTATAGGATTTTGAGTTAAAATAGAATTAGAGAGAATCGGCACGCGGGTATTTCTGAACAATTATTCAACGAATGGTTTACGTAGTTAACAACTGCTTTTCATGACTTAGTCTAAGCATAAGTAAGCACCACGCATTAAGGGTTGACATGCCCTGCGATTTACAGAACTAAAATTTAAGGCTCAATTCTAATTATGTTCACGAAATAATAAAATTAAAATATATGGTAAAATACAGAAGAAACAAGCAAAAAGGAACAATTTATCCTTTTAGCTAAATTTAATATAATCTATAATCATGTTCTTAAATTACACTCCCAATGACTGTATAAGTGTATACCCCTGACGGGAAATTCATTTACATCGAAGCAATTAAACCACACACAAGTTTTGTGAATTATAAGGCTAAGTGCAAATTATTATGTGTTTATACCAATTAATGAATGCTAAATGAAAACAAATTACCTAACTTAATATAAATAACGATAACAATCTTGCACATTTTTAATGAACTTTACTATCGAATTTCACTGGCTGACCTCTCTGGAGGTCCACGCCTTCTATTTACACAAGTGTTTGATTTTAACAATATTTATTTATTATCTCTCTCTTGTTCTGGGTCCTCAACAGCCTTGTGCCGGGAATGTGCCCAATTACAGTGACCCGCATAATGCTCTTTATATAACTATAACTACCTACGCTCCACAACTGGTCGATCGTAAATATATTGGGACAGTCCTTTTTATGAGTCAATATCCGTCTACGAGAGATTAAGCATAATTAAAAAGATTATTGCAGTGGATGGCTCGCGCTATATCGCTTTATTATAATAATAATAATAATAATAATAATAATAATAATATAGTCACTGGGGCTTTCCGAACATCTCCGATACCCAGTCTTAATGTTGAAAGCAATTCTCTGCCTTTACGACTGAGATTTGAGCAACAAAAACTAAAACATGGCGTGAAAAGATGTGCTAAACCAAATCACTTCCTGACAGAACACATTATGAACCCTACCTGGCATACCAAATACGATTGGCGCCAGACGAGGACTATTCCATCGATAGTACAAATGCACACTGAAATGAGAAATGAGAATCTTATGGAACTAGAACTTTGGGAATTAGTGCCGGACAAAATGCCATGGGAACTTACATTACCAGACGTGCTAAAGCCGTCAGAAGAACAACTAAAAGCAGAAGGGAAAACAAATAATTTGTTTGTAGCGACATGGAGTGACCGGAAAGCGAAGGGATGTGCAGTGATTGCCAATAATTACATAAATTCGTGGAAATTTTCAGAATATCATACGTTGGAGAGCATGGAACACATGGCAGTTCTAAAAGCTTTGGAAATCTGTGATCAGAATCCACAAATCACAAAAATCATAGGTTGCCTAAAAACAACAAAATCCCTGCAAAATTGCTTTACTGACAACCCCCTACAAAGAACAGTTATTAAACAATGGGACAAGTTAAACGAATCTGGAAAGAAAGTGGTTTTGATGTTAGCACAAAATGACAACGTACACCTAGAACTAATAAAAGCAAAAAAGGCAGCAAAGGAAGCAGGTTTATCAACATCGTCTGTTATGATAACAAAACTAACTGTACCAGATGTGCTAAACAGAATAAAAAACCTTATGAAAGAAAAATGGCAAAATCAGTGGTCTACAGTGGAAACACAGTTGAAAATAATACAACCTGACCTTTTTTGGGGGCATAGTAAGAGCGAAAACCTAAAACGCAAAGATCAAGTTATAATAACACGGTTACGTATTGGCCACACGAAACTAACACACAGTCACCTCCTACGCGGACAAACACATAGACGTTGTGCGCAATGTGGAGCGGAAATAACTGTCATGCATATTATGCAAGAATGCCAAAGGTTAGAAATCTACAGGAAACAGCACAATATCACAGATATGCTTATATTAAAAAACGCTAACAATTACCAAAATATTATAAAATTCCTGAGAGATACAAACCTATACAAAGAAATATAGTGTGAAATGTACTAAATATTAGTAAACATTATAAAATAATACTTACAAACTTAGTGGTGGTGAGCCAATTACCTGCGTTGTAGACGCCGCCTCCGCTCGGTTAATAGAAAACCTAAAAAAAAAAAAAAAAAAAAAAAAAAAAAATAATAAATAGCGTTGACTATTGTGGCCATTAATAGCTATGTTGGTAAGTATGAATTACATACTATCCGTAGATTTCCAATGCGAGTGTGTGAATATTTTTTTTTTTCTTTATGAACCCTACATAACTTCACCAGACACAGACACAGACACTAATCGTTACTTGATTTTAATCCGTGCGATTAGTTAACCAGGCTAGACCTGAGTTCTCACAAGAAACACCGACCATAATAATAATAAATGCCTTTATTGAGTCAATTGAGTAAATATAATAAATGGAAAAGTTTCAGAGGCGAAGTTCAGCTCACAGAATGCGCTGCTCTTCCACTGAACCTCTGTTGAGAGACAAATCCGGCGTAATTACATGATCATAATGTTCTTAAAATTAGGCATACCGATAGGTAGTGAACTGCTACTGCTGTCAATTGTTATTCATGAATCATGAGGTTATTGTCTTTCTAAATACCTGGAGATTATAGCTTTACGGAATTTCTGAGTAGTGAATGATTTTAGATTCGTTGGTAGATGATTCCACAGGGTCGCTATGTTATAGGAGAGGGATCGCTTGTACATCGTAGTGCGGTGTGCTGGCACGGAAATTGTGCCCCTGTGCCGTAGGTTTAAGTGATGCACATCCGACCTGAAGCTTATTTTTTCCCATAGATATGAAGGGGTCTTGGTGGTTAAAACCTTATAGTAACAAATCAGAGCGTGAACTTCTCTCCTATTTCTCATATTAAGCCATTTTGCTTCGCCTAGCTTCTCCGAGATGTGATGTATTGAACGTGGTACACAGTATATAAATCTCAAACAGGCGTTCTGCAGCCTTTGCACCCTTTTTACCTCCACACTGTCAAGACATGGACCGTAGACTACATCGCAATAATTCAGATGTGAGAGCACTAAGCTATCACATAGCATCCTTTTGACTTTCGTGTCTAATACATCTCTATTTTGGTAGAGTAGTTTTAATTTACCGAAACCTAATCTGATCCATTTACTTATATGAGATTTAAATCGTAACATAGTCTAGTGTCAGCCCCAAGTTTTTTTCCTCGGTACTGCAGCTAATTTTTGTGTTTCCTAAAGAGATATTGACATTACTAATTAAGCTGTCGTAAACGTGACCACTGCTGAAAAGAATTGCTTTTGATTTTTCCGGATTTAGCTTCAGTGAGTGGGCTGTAGAGAGTTTTAGTAGTAAGTCCAAATCCCGGTTGATTTTATTGCACGCTCCCACTACGTCTGTAGGACTAAAGGGTAAGTATAATTGCGTATCATCCGCGTAAAAATGTGAATTTACATATTTTAATCTGTTTTGGAAATTGGAGACATAAATTGAGAAAAGAGTCGGGCTTAGAATGGATCCTTGCGGAACTCCCGATTTAATTTTCTGATAGCGTGATTTTTTATTGTTGTAAACAACTCGTTGCTGCCTATTCTGCAGAAAGTTTTTAAAAAAAGTGGTGGCCTTACTTGAATCCCATAACTGTGTATAATTTTTAATAAGGTTTTATGGTGTATTGTATCGAAGGCTTTCGAGTAGTCTAGTAGTATCAATAAAACAGCCTGTCTATTATCAATTGCTGAGATGATATCATCTGTTATTTTAAGGAGACCAGTTGCGTAACTGTACCCGGCACGGAAACCTGATTGATTACAGGGTATTAAGCGGTTCAAATTCAAAAAGTTGGTGAGCTGAGTATTGATAGCTTTCTCTAGGACTTTTGAGAGGACCGGAAGAATTGATATAGGACGGAGATCTCTAAGTTCAAGCGGCGTGGGTATTTTATTCAGGGGAATCACGTGCGCAATCTTCCAGCACCTTGGGAATACCGAGTTTAATATACAATAATTTATTAAGTGGGTTATTATCCTCAGAAGATGAGGGAGACATAAATTAAGCATGTATAGGGTGATCCCATCTGATCCGGCTGCATTAGACTTGATGGTTTTCAGCAGTATGTCTGATTCCTCAACAGTCTCAAATTCTAATTGTTGCATTGGCTGCGTGCGCCTTTGACATAGTTGTGCAATTTCCGTGTCGTTGATGTTCGCGTATGGACCGGACTGAGTAAAATGATCATTAATTTTATTTACATCGGTTAGATATTCTGGCAATTTTGAGGGGGACTTGTCCATATATAGAACATTGCTTTTCAGGGCTTTCCACAGAACAGTCGGATTATTACTTGTTGCTTGTTGTAATGTAAGAAAAGTTTTTTTTCGGAGTAGAAAGAGCCTTCACCAGCGCATTATGAAGTATGAAACTCCAGCTTTAATTCGATGGTCGTGTTATTAGAATTCGAAATTGAAATTTGACGATGTTTGGCTGGACGTAAATACCAACAAAACGGACAATCTCAGAAACCAACAGTGGCTTTTATTCTAAATTAAGGTATATTTATTTTAGAATCGGGAACCGTTGAATTTATCTCCTTTCCTCGAAGTTTTTACCAAAACCCGGGACAACACTCAGTCAATACGGGAACTATTTTTTTAATATTTCCTCCCCATGGTTGAGCCATATTAGTTTGTGGTCTAAGTTTAAATCCAGGAACTTGAATTTCGATGATGTGAGTGAGGCACCGAATTTACATAATAAAAAGGTAACATTTAAACATAATTTATTTGCATTTGGTAGCCTTCAATTGTACCTTCCAGGTAGCACTGTTGCTTCTTGAATAGATCTACAGCTACCTAATAGAGAAGTGTCATCAGCGCTCAGCATAATGGTGCAGAACGAGCTCATGAAACAGTGATAAAAATGAAAAAGAGGACAGGGCCTTAACCGAACCTTGAGGCACTCCTGTCTGTGTAGCATAGAGCTTGAACCTGATTTTATGTTATTAGTGTAGCAGTACAATGCCGACCTTCTGACTTTTTTGTATTCTACAGGCCAAAATCTGTCAGAAATTATCCGTGTCGTCACGATATGGATATGCCGAGTTATACAGTGAGGACATAAAGTCTGTCGCCGCCACTCCCTCCTTCCATAATTTTTAACTCGGTCAGTATCTACATTACCATGGATAATTATTCTCCGAGATGCTGTTTCTGAAAGTAAAACGTGCACAACTTTTACACGCAACGACCAATTTGCCTCTAGTGATAAAGTGGGCAAGTAAAAATTTAAAAAAAGGGGAATTTTGACGTTTGAAAAAAATATATCCATTGATCTTGTCAAAACTTTAAGAGCAAATATCTCGAAAACGGTCTGACGGAGGAGGGTACTCACAAAGGCAAAATGAATCATCTGGACGAGACACATCTATTGGTTAAGTCGAAACGAATATCTCGAAAGCGAAGTGTCGGTTCTCATAAAGAGTAAGTAGAAGAATTGTGGGTGGCTGCGGGTTGTGCGAAAATGTTAAGTAGAATTCCATTATAATAAATAATATCGGCTTAAATCGTAATTCTTTTGTTTGCGATATTTTCTATTAACTACATGCGAAATTACATTACTCACGAGTAGGCGGGAGACACTTATTTGTGACCCGAAGAACCTATCGTTAAATGGGTATAACTTTTGTTGTTCGACAATTATTTTCTTCCTTAACTCGTCAAGTATGTACACAACGAATTTCGTGGAATTCTCTCCGGCCAAGAATTACAATGGGATTTTTTTTCCAATTTTCAAAAACTAATTAGTGATTTTTTTTCGCTCCCCCATAATGCGCAGTTTCGAGGTAGGGAAGGTCATACCCGAAAACACTTTCAAAGACGTGCCACCAGTCTTTCTAACTTTTATGGTTGCCGAGAACAAAATTAAAGAACAAATGCAAATTTCGCCACATTTTTGGGGGTGGCCCCCAAATGAAACACATTGGACTCTCGGTTTATTGGGAAAAAATGCTTGTTTTGATCCCCCCTACCACCAAATTTTTTTACATACTGATATGCAATACCCTGTATAATAAGGTATATTTAAAACAATGAAAATACACCAGTTAGGTTCAAAAAGTATATTTTTCTAAGATTGTAAATTGCTAGAAAAGGGATAGTCATCATTTTCATTATTTGGATAGGGATCGTATATGTAAGTTGTAATTTAGACGCCCCCCCCCTCCCCACTTAAAGATTATCGATATTTTTTTGCAAGAAAGTTATTAGTACTATGATGTTTCATGATGTATAGGGTTGAAAATTCTTCAAGTCACTGTTTGTTGATTTTACTCATTGACTCGTTTACTTGTAGTTGCTCCTTAGGCTATTACTAGTTGTATAACTTACCTTTTTGCTTTGCCTATATAAAAATAATGTGCTATTTGAATATCCAGAACTTAATTTGGGTAGTTTTTTGGCGAGAAAATTTGGGAACGTTGTGCTCAGATAAAGCGCCGATTTTAAGTATCCCATCCATATCAAAATCGATACGTTACCTGAATTAGACCTTCATATGAATAGATATTGTCAAATGCAGGTAATACATCGCCTGCTTTATTTATGATGCAAACGTTATAGGCTAAAATTTAAATAAAATTAACCATTAACCAGTTTCAAATCCTAACTGAAAAATTTATATAAATTAATATAGAATTTGAATGAAAATCCTAATGATAAATGTGTTCAGATAAACGCAAACGTAATTCAGTTTATTTAATACGATTTAACGTCACAAATGTAATCCCAAGTCGTTTGGTCTTTATTTTTTTTATTTTCAAGGGAATTTGTATAAAAGTAATGCTAATGATTTTTGAGTTTTCCATGGAACGTATTTTGACGTGTTTATTACAGCGCCTCCTGTGAACCGATTTAAATAACATTATACGAGGGGGTTAAAATCTAAAAATGTTTGCCAACGCATTATGCAGTTATTATTAAGGAAAGGAGAAATTCAAACTTTGAACTCTGAATTTGGAGTTGAACGTCAAAATACAAACGTCCCGAGCAAGCACACGCACAGATATTTATCTATGACCAACTTCTTACTTATGACCTGACCAATCCATCCTGCTGAACCATATGGTAAAATAAACCTTGCTCGTCATCTAGTAAATTTTTGGGCGATCCAAATTGACAAATCGCACCCGCGTCCATAACAATAATACTGTCCGAATCTATTACCGTTCGCAGTTTGTGCGCAAGGGTAAGTACTGTGCAATTTGAGAACTTCCGTTTGATTGTCCTCTGAATGAGAGTATCGGTTTCTGGATCGATATTGGCAGTCGCTTCGTCTAATACTAAAATAGTGTTGTTGTGCACGATGGCTCTTGCCAAACAGAAGAGTTGCTTTTCTCCTACGCTTAAACCCATTCCTCCCGATAGAACTTCGGCATCCAAACTTGTAAACGCACTTTTCATCCCCACTTCTTCTAATGCATCCCACAGTACCTTGTCTAAGAATTCGCAGTACGGATCTAAGTTGGTCCTGATTGTACCCGAAAAGAGCACCGGGTCTTGAGGTATGATCGACACTTTAGAACGGAGATATTTGATCGGCACTGATTTAATATCTATACCGTCAATAAAAATGTTTCCTTCGTAGTCGTACATTCGGAATAAAGTCGAAATAATTGAAGTTTTTCCTGCACCAGTCCTTCCAACAATACCGACTTTTTCCTTGGGTCCAATGTAAAAATTAATATTTTCTAATGCCGCCTCCCCACCACTCGAATACTGCAAAGTCACACCTTCGTATTTAATAGTCCCGATGTTTGGCCAATTGTCTGGTTTGGCGCCCGTGGGAACCTCGACGACTATATCTCTGTACTCTAAAACCCTCTCTGTCGATGTCATCTGCGTTTCTAGATGAGCCCATTGTCGAGCAGCCGATGTCAGTAACCGGATTAAAGAAAATGACTGTGAAATGGCCAAGCCAACTAAACCGGCTAGTCTATCTAAACACGTTTCGTTTAACAGGATAATTGCGAAGGGGTTGTGTTACTTACCTGTTTTTGATACCAAGAATGAAAAAACTATTATTGTAATGTACACATTACAAATTGCGTCCAAAGAGAACCCAAAGGCTCTGGACGTGGACAAGTTCATATAAAGCGTAGAACTGTACAGATCTTGGTATTTGTCAAATTCTTCAATTAGTCTTTCCTGAGAGTTACTTGCTCGAATTGTGGTGAGTCCCTCTAAAGTGGCGTTTAGGTGACCTATTAGTGGGCTTCGTGCTAAAAGTGTAGATACGTGAAACGTGACTTCTGTTGCAACTTACCAGCTCCTTCCAGCCGTTTCAAACTTCGACCAAGTCTCATATAGATTCGGCGTACTGTATACAATATCACAGTTAGTATAATGGATGGTACTATAAAATACCAATTTACGGTTGTGACAATAATTAACACGCCATACATAGACAGAAGAACCTTCAACTTTCCTTTGAGATTGAGTTTGAGTGTAGCAGGACACTTACTTTCATAGAATCCAACAACACGCTAGGCATTTGATCATCCATTATTGACAAATCGCGAGAGAGGCGATTGAGAATATTTCCCGATAGGTTGTTGTCAAAGAATATCATCGGTGCGTTTACAACTTTATCTATAACAGTCTTGTGTATTTTAATAGATGCCTTGCTTGTAAATAAAAAAAATGACAACGCCTCTAAAATGGTACAGGTTGCAGCACCGAGCATTACAAACGAGTATGTGGCCATTATTACGTCATATCTGTTTTCCAAATCTTTGTATTCGGCTGAGTATGTGGTTTGATTCGTCCGAAAACCGGAAAGCTCTTGCTCCATATCTACCCTGAAAATCGCAAATGAAAAAAAGACCGGAATTTGTGGTTTTACCAAAAACTGATGAAGTAATCCGTCCAACTGGCCGCGGCGTTAGCCGTAATGGAACAAATGGCGACTATCAAAAAGATTTTCCAACCTCCCCCACAGAGATAATACGCATAATACACGGAGCTTTTTACTTTTCCTATTTTGTTATACTCTTGGTAAATGTTAGGTGGTACGGCTTCATTTAGAATTAAAGGCTGTGCTTCGTCGATTTCTCTATATGGTTCGTTTTGATTATCACCTAGTTCAATTGTTTCCTCATTTTTCCACCGCTTAAAGTAATTGAAAGAATCGTGGAATTCTACGCGCCCCCCGTGTAAAACCAAAACCTTATCGTTGTCTTCCAAGGGAAGAGAGTTGTTAGTTAGTAATACACAGACGCAGTTTTTCAGGAACCCCTTGATGCACTCATTGAAAATATGTTTCCCAACGCGCCCATCCATGGAGGACAAGCAGTCGTCTAGCAAATAAATAGCAGCTCGTTTGTAAATCGCACGCGCCAGGTTTATTCTGACCTTCTGTCCTCTACTTAAATTTGAGCCACGATCTGAGACAAAGGACTGATCACCATTTGGGAATACCTTCAAATCCCGCTTTAAGGCGCACACATCAAGCACTTGCTGATATCTTTTTTCATTAAACGGCTCTCCGAAGATTATGTTTTGACGTATCGTCGAAGGGAATATCCACGGTTCTTGAGACGCGTAGGACACCTCTCCGGGAAGCATAATCTCGCCGCTAGTTATCGGAACGTCGCGTAGCAGTAGTTTTAACAACGTCGACTTGCCTGAACCGGTAGGCCCTGTGACCACTGTCAATCCTCTGCAAATATTTAAACTTAGACCGTCCAAGAGTATTACTCCACCTGCAGTTGAGACAGTAGCATTCTTCACAGATATTACCCCATCTGCCAACGAGTCTTCACTAGAATGAGAAGGAACTTCTGGGAGCATAAGGAACTTTGTGATTCGATGTAGCGACGCTTTATATTCGGCCATTTGTAGAACGACATTTGGCAGGTAGTCAGTGAGAAGGGATTGAAAAGCTCCAAAACAGCCGTTAATCACAAACGCATTTTCTGCACTTATGTGGTTACCCAAAGCAACGTACGTAATCACGCAAATGTAAAAAGCGAAACGGTAGGAGAGTTGACAAATAGAAAAAATCATCGCTTTTATGTAAAATAAGATTTTTAGCAGTTGCATTTCTTTGCTGAAATTTTCAAGATAAGTTGAGTGTTTTAGTATACCCCCTTACGTTCTACGTTCATCAATTAGTTTTGAGAAAAACTTTTCCCACCTATGCATTTTGATTGTTCGCATCGCTGTTAGCATTTCCTGCATCAATTTAACCCTTTGATCGGTTTGTGCAGCAGTTTTCAGTCGATAGTTTAATATCAGCTTGCCCAAAAGTGCTAAAAGAAAATTTCTGCAATCTATTTGGTAGGTATTTGTCAAAAATTTCTTACTAGTGGGGAAATGTGGCTTAGTATTTGTTTGTTATTTAAATTGGCTATTAATAATAAAGGTTCAATCAGTATTGTAGCGATATCAAGAGTTGAGTTGGGACCGACAAAGAGGGCGGATGTGCCTGGCGAGTTCTGTGTTTACTTTGTATATTTTATTTACTTTAGTAAAGAATTCGGTAAATTTTGAACGCGAGGAGGATTAATTCGGGCTTACACTTGAAGCCCTAGCAGAATTTGTCTTTATCAAGACACGAATAATACGCGAGGTTTTAATTGTGGCAAGACAGTGTAGAAATCAAATCAACAGGGCGAAAAGCTAAATATTAGGATTAAGGTTATAATTTAAATTAAACTAGAGATAGAATAGAGAGACGCAGGCCACAGGGGGCAATTAATCAGGTAGTGTAGAATGTCTAGATAAACGGGAAGTACGGAAGGTAGCGCGGGCTAGTAAATACGCATACTGCGAGGGTGAGAAAAATTACCCTTATGAAAGGAAACCTAAACCTGTCGATCGGCGAAATACAAGCATCCTTAACCCGGATATTTAAACTCCCAAGTTGACGACTTTGTATACTTGCGAGGGCAACCCTTAATAGCGCATTTCGAGGGCTGGAAAGCTTTTGTGCGGGTAGAATTAAGGTTGATTCTCACTATACATAACGTTTCCATACCATATCCTTTCCATAACCATTCCGTAAATTATTATACCTATGAAATTGACCTTTAAGTGATATGTGCGTAAGACATTCAGCCGCGCGCTAATACACATTCGCCTTCCATATGTGAACGGAAAGGAGACACAATATATACAAATTTTTGCGGCACAGTTAGCTTCAACGACGGGATTAGTGAGCGAGAGTAGAATGTCTTTCGGAGGTAATCATAAACTGTGGTTCGATTATGAATGTATAGAAGCGAAGAAGCATTTGCAGTCATTACTAAAAATTTGTAAAAAAAATAACTTTTCAGGTCAAACCACGGTGGTATAAACCAAACTAAACTATTTAAAGTCAAAGAAATACTATAAACAAATTATTACTAAGAAGAAGAAAAAGTTTGATCAAAAATGTATCGATGCGCTATCGGCCACTAAAGATCAAGTTTCTTTTTGGAAAACTCTTAACCAGTTCATACGCTTTGATAGTTTCTGTCCGATTTCCATTCATGAGTGAGAAATGTATTACGATACCAACATGAAAGTTCGACTTCCATCCTGTACATACTATTTTGATGCCGGACATTTTTTATTTGATAGCGCAATAACTTTAGAGGAACTGCTCCAGTGCCTCAAAAAATGTAAAAAAGGTAAAGCACAGGGCAATGACGGGATATCATACGAGTTCATTCAAAATCTTCCGAACAATTGGCTTCTGTACATCTGTCGCCTGTACAATAAAATTTTGGAATCTGAAAAGTGTCCTATAGGTTGGAGTGAAGTAGTTTTAACTATGTTGCACAAAAAAGGACCAAAGGAAAATCCTGAAAATTATAGAGGAATAGCTCTTATTAATTGCTGTACAAAATTATTTACGTTAATTCTCCTCGAAAGGTTGACATGGCGCTGCAATGAAAATAATATTTTACCTGAATGTCAGTCAGGGTTTAGAAGGTCAAGGGGTTGTATTGACAACATTTTTGTTCTTAACTCCATCATTCAATGTCATCTGAGACTAAGTGGTCGAAAAGTGTTTGCTGCATTTGTCGATTTTAAAAAAGCTTTCGATACAGTTAATCATAATTTACTTTAGCGGAAGCTGTATGATTCAGGCGCTAGTGCAAAATTGATACGAATTATAAAAAACATATATGAAAATGCATCATTTAAAATAAAATCGAACAATTGCTTTAGTCAGACATACGAAATTTGTGAGGGGGCCTTACAGGGCGAATCTTTGTCTCCACTCCTTTTTTCAATTTTCATCGCTGACATCGAAAGTTACTTCTCTTCAGCGGGTTTATCCGGAATTAATATTGACAATCATGTCAGTTCCCTAATGCTGTTATTTGCGGACGATTTAGTCATATTAAGTGACTCAGAAATTGACCTTAATCGTAAATTAAGAACCCTTAAAAACTATGCTACAGAAAATAGTCTAACAGTAAATATCAACAAAACAAAAGTTATGATCTTCAGTAGGGGTGGTTACTCTATGTTACCTTGCCGATATAAGCTATATTATGGTGAGGGTGAGAGCAAGCTGGAAATAGTACCGTCGTTTGTTTACTTGAGCGTGGAGTTTACATCATCAGGCATGTTCCTAGGTATGTCATATTCTACTGTACTGAAAGCCAGACAAGCCTTTGGTAGCGTAGCATCCCTTATTAATCGATCGAAAATGAATTCTTGGTTTTCTCGTAAAAAATTATATGTTAGCATAATTCTTTCGTCCCTTACTTATAAGATTGGTGTATGGGGATAAGGTATGGAGAGAATATCGAACGAGCGCAGGTGGGTTTTTTCAAAAACATTTTTTGGTTGCCAAGAAATACACCTAACTATAAATAAGACTGGAGACTAACACCGTTAAAATAAGTTTCCTTATCTTTAAAGCGGCTCTTTCATGGCTATTCAAATTGAAGGGTATGTCTAACGATAGGCTGCCAAAAATATGTTTTAATAGACTCGTTCAGCTCAGTAGTTCGAGTCCGAGTCCCACTAAATTTAATTGGGTAGCACAAGTGAAACAGTACTTTGTTGAAGCTGATAGTCTGGATCTGTGGGACAAATGTCTAACTAATACTGGAAATAAGAAAGAGTTAACTAATCAGTTACTTGAATCATATAGAAATTTCTTATTAAGGCAAGATCTAGACAGTCTGTCTCGCTCGACTTCTTTGCTATTTGCAACTAGCTTTTCTTACGTGGGGTTACCATACTACCTTACCCTAAAATGTCCTACATACCTTATAAAAATAATTGCACAGTTGCGTCTCTGCACAAAAAACTATGCTAAAATTTCGGATAAATACAGCACCCATAAAATACACACGGATCAAATATGCACATTGTGTAATACCATTAAGCCAGAAACAATAAATCACTTGTTCTTCGAATGTCCATTTTATAATAGCCTCCGCAAGAATTATATACCTCATATAAATTCCTTTATAGATCTAGCTAATGTTCTGGGTTCAAATTCTTTCAAAACACTCTCTTCCATCGGCGACTTTGTTACCGCGATGGTAAGGTTGCGTTCTTTTTTGCTTAACGAATAAAAAGATATATAGAAATGAATAAATAAAATAAAATAATTTTTTTTTAGTTTGCTTTAATACTACTACCTTATGTCATCGTTCTGTCTAGAAATCTTTTGCTGGCCATCTACTAAATATTACAATATAATAGTACTGATTTTCTTTCTATATTTTATAATGATTATATATATATATATGATAATTTGTGTTATGTTGCTGTAATGTAACTAACCATTCGTTCCCTTGTAATAAGGAATCATTGTAATTCTTTTAGATACAATAAATAATAATAATAATAATTTAAAAAAATATCTGGGAGCGTACATAAGCAGCACACTCAGCAGGCACGACATAGTGTAAGACAGAATGAACAAAGCATTCAGAGCCACACACGGAATCCGAAACTTCATACGAGAGCTTGAAAATGCTACACGACCATAGCTGCGACAATCTTGTACGGAGTGAGCACCTCAGCGCTAACAAAGAGCAACAGACGAACAATGAGGAGGATGGAACGGAAGACACTACGGATACTGATTGAAAACAGCAACCTCACAAGAAAGCAGATAAGGGAATTACTAGGAGGAAAGATGATCACCAGGAGACTGAAGATGAGAGGCACCTGAGGTACTGGGGGCATATAAACAGGAGGAACAAAGATCATATACTGCAGGCGGCCAAGAATCTTCGTGTCTCGGAATGGAAGGTGGGCCGGCTCTGCTTCACATGAAACACCACTATAGAGCAAACGGTGGTGGGCGCGGGGATTCCCATAGAAAGATGGGAGGACTGGAGCAGAGACAAACACCAGATGAAAAAAGAAGGCAGACGAGTACTGGAGGCGGAGGAAGAATCAGATATAAGCACAAGCAGCCAAGAGCAGCAGGAGGAGGGGGAGACAGAGACAGAAGAGAGGCATGGAGAGGACAACAATAAGAAAGGGCGAAACAATAACGAAGGAGAAGAGACAACAGGATGGAGGCTAGTGAAACGCCCGCGGGCGAGGCCATCACCAGGAAGCGGAATTCCATCTAATGCAGATATTCCGGTGGAGAAGCTTACCTTTTCGGGTCGGAAATCTAAATTCTGGGAGCAGCGGCTACGCCAGGCATACACCAAAGTATCAGTATTGTAGCGATATCAAGGATCCATGAACGATTCATTTGACTTACCATTCATTGGTACCGCGGCCAATACAATCACCGCGCCGGCAAATGCAGAAACGCCAATATATGTATACATAATGCAAAGTATAATGACAAATTTGGGGAACCATAAGACCAACATATGTCCGCAATCTGGCACTGTCAAGAGTTGCGCGATATCCTTAGTTATTATTGTCACAGCCATTCCGTGAATATTCTCATTTTCCAAATTAATCCTCAAACATTTTCTGTACACCATCGTACTACACGCTATTTGCATTTTCAGGCCTATCAACCATACTACAAGGATGCACGTATTATTGTATAGCTGATGTGTTGCAACAGCCCCAATTAATCCAGCTGCATATAATGAAGCTTCCTTGACAGTAACATTACTTCCAGGTTCAAAATACGCCATCAGCTTTCCCATCACAATCGTTTGCGCCAAGCTAAAGTAGCCTAATCACTCAATCTGGAGCGAATACCGCTATACTCACTCCGCAATACAAATTTCGAAGATAAAAATGCCAATTCCCCATAAGGCAAACTCCAGGCCAAAGATGCGGAGGAAGATTTTGAAAACTGACGGATTTTTGGAATTCATGAATTCCTTTTGCCATTCTCGATTCATGCGATGATACAATCGAGTAGCTTGGAAATTTGGCAAAACATCGTATATATCTTCCATTTTCAGGTCTCTTCGTGATCCAGTGTAAATAATATTGAACACATACCTAACAAATCTTTAGTGAAGAGGTTAACTCGCCTCAAGTTACTTACTTGAATAAAAAAATATTTATTATTCCTGCCTTTGTACGCGGATTTGGTTTACGCCTTTTCTGTTCGCTACAGTCCATTATGTCACTCAATATACACACAACTCTAGTGTAAATATTATCTGTAGTAAAATTTTATAAAAGTTGAAACAAACAAGAAATATTATGTAAACCTACTTGTAAAAAAAACGTGACCGAAACAAAATAGTGCGGTTAATAAGTTGACCAATATCCTCCTTTGAAATTTGACACTACTGACAACTGTAATTTTCTTATTGAGGGCGTTTAAGAATTACCTTTATTCAAGTGGGTGTAATGTGTGTTTTCAGGCCTAGATGAAGGACAACATTTTTCGGGTGATTTTAGAACTCCACATTCCAACTGTGACTAATTTATGCTGAGCTATATTGACATTTTCCAGACGACTTCGTACTAATTGTTTCTTCATACCCTTATGCACAGATTTGACGGTGTAGGGGTCGGAAAGAATAACCCTACTGCGTGTCGTAGAAGGTGACTAAACAACAGCAAGTTAGCCGCAACCCCGGCGCTTGTGTTTGGTGGACGAAGGGTGTTTGGAAAGATTTTATCTTCTATTCTTTACCGATTGTATTTATGTCTTGATAGGGGGAATTTTAAATGATGGTAGTGGCCTTTGTTGTGGGTTTATTACCGTCAAGCGATCTGATTGGTTTTGTAAATTAGTTTATTGGTGGAAACGGTTTTACGTCAGGTGATGGGTGTCAATAAAAAAAGTAAAGTAAGTGAGGAGTTGGTTGTTGGGAGAGAACCGTTAAGCAATTAGCTTGAAACGGTCACTTCAGTTCAGTTGGTCACCTATTATTACCTTAGGCTGGTTTGATTTTTGTGCCCCATTCGCATTGAACCGCGAGCGAAGTTTAGTCAAAACCTATAGATTACCGTGGGGTGATTTATTTGTACCAAGAGAATTTGCGCCTAGAACTGAGAAAGGGTTTGGTAAACTCCCTGCGAACTAGCACAGTGTTTTGATATATTGTAACCCTCTGTATTATTTAATCTAGGGAGAGTTAAGTTTAGTTAAAAAGTGGTCACTTTAGTTATTTCGGGCAACCTGTTACAAAGGGATAAAGGTAGAATTTGATGCTTTTAGATATACGTAATTTTTTTAAATTTCTAGTGTTGTCTTCATTTACTATGAAGTGATCTGAATTGGAGGTGCATCGATTTTTAATTTTTCAGTTATGGAGGAAAGGGTCCATTCTCCTTGAAAACTGTTTAAAAACTTTGAGGTGAGAACGTAACATTATTTTTTGCATGATCTGAAATCATTATTATTAGTATAAGGAGGAATTTTAGTGCTGCTTGTGTAACTGCCCGTTAAAAAAGTCCGTTTTTTCGCCACTCTTCGGTAGTGGGAGTTTGACACGTAATGGTGTGTCCCAGGTAGAACGCACCATAAGTAAACGGTAATATATTTTTTCGCGAAAGATCCAGGAGGCCTTTGAAATTACAGTTCAATGCACTACAGTGATCTCTTTGTAGCACCAGGCAAGCGCAATAACGTACGTGCGTTTTTGCAAATAACAGAGTAAGGACCGCTGCATAGAGTTTGTGGAGGTCGCCAAACGGTGTTGTGAAAACGTCTCCTGGTCTTGAAAAATGAAAGTTTTTGGGTTGGCATGACGAGAGGTAAGGAACAGGTCTATGAATAGGCGTTGTTGTTCACAGTCAAACTGAATATCGGAGCCGGGCACGTTGTGCAGCTGGAGTTTAAGAGATGTGCTGCCGATGAGAAGTTCTAGAAGTTCAGTCTCCCTCTTGATCACGGGTGTATGAAGATCAACTGCATCAGCGACAATGTTAGAGGACCCATACGCCGTAATACCCGTGGTAAATTGGGCGATATAGGTCAGTTGAGTCTGTTGTACTGGATGTAGCTTGTCTGTATAGGTTGATCCATGGTGAAGGTCAGTGGTTTAAGATCGGTGAAAATCTCCATTCTGAACCACAAAAATAATGGGATTAAAATGTCGTACGGTGGCGTAGACAGCCAGTTCCCGATAGTCAGCGGGCCACTTTCATTGACGTGGTCGCACCTCATGGTAATTTACAGGTGGTTGAATTGACTTCGCTTACCGCTCAACACGAATGAACTTTTTAGAAAATTAAACACATCCTACGGTAATTTACAGGAGTTTGACTTAACTTTGGATTTGTAGTGACCCGAATACTCTCACGGTTATCCCAGAACTGCAAACTTCCCACTATTTTACTTCTATGATTTACACCCCTTGACATTTTCCACCAAGTACGCCCCCAATTAGATTCATTGACGGCTATATAAATTAATGCAATGTGATTTAACTTACTGTTTATTCTGCAAATCTCACATTACGCAGCAACTCAGATAGTTACAACTACAACACAAACAAAATCTTTCCGGTAACCTGAAACAAGCAGGCCGTATCCCACGATTTACCGGCGCCTTAAGTTTTCAAACGCATTTAAAAAGTCAGGACCGTATTTAAGGTGCACTCGCCCACGTAACATTACCAAAATATTAAAGAAATTCTCCCAAATAATGAGCAAATCAACTTAAAACCCTAAATTGAAGGAGACCACCTGCTTGGCCAAACTTCAACTACCAAACTAATAAAGAATTCATTCGCGTCCACAGCCTTGTTACTATATCGGACCGTGCTTAATTGAAGGAGGAAAAAATGGCACACAGCCTCTTGGAATGGACGCAGCTCTGACTGCAAACACAGAGCTGTGTCTATATAGGAACGCTGCTTCCCTAGATACCCAGACAAGATGTGCTGGACTGGACAAACACGACCCGAACGGTACACGGTTTGAAGGACCTACAGAAGAAACCTATAACTTGAATTTTTAATCTGTTCGTTTTTTAATAAATTCCGGTTTTATAACGAATCGAGTGTTTGCAAAACCATTACAAGAACATCATCCCATTAAAATCATCTTTAAACTGCCCCTACATCGTTTACTGTGCCAGGATCTCCTCTCTCCCTTCCTCCTCCTCTTTCCCTGGCCTATGTAAAATCCTCGCAATCGAGAATTAAGTCATAATCGGTAAAATAGGACCCAAAATCGTGTCATTTCACCCTTCGACCTCCAAACTCCAAGCTAGGATTGCGACACGCAGTGCTCTCTGCGATAGAGTTATTCTTTCCCGCCCCTACAAGGGTAAATTGCAAATCGCACCACGAAGTACCGATACAATATTATCAAAATTAAAAAATCGAATCAAAGAAATCGGTCTCCCCTTACAAAGTGCACTCAAAATTAACTTCATTGCGTTTAGAGGTATGGAAAAGATTGAGCAACATGTCAATAGGTACTAAATGACTATCGCTCACCACCTATGAAAAGCAAAAAGTTTCTCCCCTCAGAAGTACCAAAACTTCATCAACAAACTTTGGTCCAATTTCACTAAACTATAACAAAAAATTCGCATAATTAATTATAAACGGCTCAGTTACCGCGTTTCAAAATAATAGGGTAGGCTTAACCAGGTTAATGCGATAATAAGGAATCTAGAACGTACAAGTAGTGCGTCCTTGGAGTAGCCTGTATAATTTTTTGACCAGTCAAAACAGAAAGAACTTGTACTGTGGCGTAAATGATAGTAACGTCTGAATTGATTCGAACTGTAAACAGCTGATAACAGTCAGTAATCACGTTGTTAATAAACAGAAATGAACGGCGGAGTTAGACCAATAAGGAAACGGAATCCTAGAGATGCTGCAAACTTATTGTCGCACCTTTTCATTGGGTAATGCTAGACGTAGGTAGTAAAACTGTGACGACTGATGTAATCAATCCCATAGATATATTTATAAAACTATCGGGAAAGGTGTACGTAAAGACCTGGAGGATAGTGATGTTTACGAGGTAATTAGAGGTTGCGAGTCAAAGACGTTAGGCGATCGTCTGGAAAAGGAATGGAGGAAGGAAGTGTCCAAAAAAAAACCCTCTCTTCTAAAAGCAATACTGAGGATACACGGCTTGATGTATATCTGTCTCGGTGTTAGTATTTTTGTATACGAAACGACGTTGGTTACGTAAGTGCCATTCGTCACTTCCTACAACTCTAATATAAGTTTGTCTAGCATTTTAGAGCCAATTTTAATGGGAAAAGTAACATCTTACTTTGAACCAGGCACAAACAGAACTAAATCGGAAACCACATTGTATACAATCGGATTATGTGGATGCTCTGTACTGCTCTGTCTTTGTAACAACCAATTTTTGCTGGGACTTTTAACTATGAGTTTAAAAATACGCGTAGCAGTTACGTCGTTAATATACAGGAAATGTTTGAAATTGAACACGAATTTCTCCGCTCAGTACAATGCTGGAAAAGCGGTGACATTGGTATCGAAGGATATTCTACAGTTTTTTGACTCGGCAGATTACGCCTTGATGATCGTGGTTGGAATTCCTCAGTTTTGTGTCATGATGGTCGTTTCATATCTTCAAATTGGAGTGTCCGCCATCGCTGGAGCGTCTTTGATTTTCTTTGTGTTACCGATCAATTGTAAGCGACATTTTATTTTATTATTATTTATTACTAATTACCTACTAATAATATTCCAAAGTATCTCATTCTGGGTCTAACACTCAGTTCACTGCTTACCTACTCACTCACCCTTACAAAAATATCCGATTGACCCAATTTTCTTATACTGCAAAGAAAGATGGGGATTTTAAAGATCTTGGGGTTCTTAATCACCAGAACGCCGTTACATCTCTGAATAAGAAGAGTTCCACCACGAATTCCTTTCTCAAGCCAAGTAGTGAAGAAGTTAGAAGAGAACGGCAGTAATGTCCCACAAGTCGATCTACAGCTAACGCATTTGATTTTATCCGCCCCAAAGGACAAATTGAAGTACAATGACCATGTCGTGCCGTAATTTACTTACACGCGAAATTAAAACCAAAATTTTAACCAATGGTTACCAGAAGCCTCGTACCTGGTAGAGTTGAGTTTTCCCGAAAGAAAATTCGGTTCATGACGATTCAATTTTACGAAAATTCAGAGAAAACCCACGGCAGAAAAATAGATCTCGCCCTCTGATGCGAATAACATGCAAAAAATACCTATTATATCCTATGTACTTCCGAATTGTAACTCAGGATTGAGTTGATCACGTAGCAGCTAGGATGAATTGGGCCGAATTTTGGTCCTTTTGGGTAAAGCGACTTTTCCGAAACAAGTATGTTAGATACAATTTACCTAAACCTTTTTGGGAGAGAAATTTCTGGGAGGCCAGTCTTCTTTTAAGGGCAAAAGTTTTCAAGGTGACTAATTTTTGATAGGAGGATTTAGCACAATTTATTAGGGGAGAGTATTCTTCATAGAAAATAGTTCTATAGCAAGTTTTATTTGGCGAATTGTTCGGAGAGAATTTCATAGGAGCAATTTCCCTTGATTTCTGGACCTGACTATTTGAGAAGGGTGATCTCAAAATTTTGTCTTGGAAAAGATTCTGCGAGGCCATTTGTTGTTATATTGGGGGTCAATTATTGTTTGAAGGGTCGAATTTTCCGCAGGGGACAAATTTCTCTTGGCGAAGAATATCCGGATTCTTTCAGGTACAGCTATTCTGTAGTGGACAAAAATTTGCTTTGGAGCGAATTTTCCCAAGACAAACTTTTTAAAGCAAATTTTCCACAGCTAGGACAGTTGTGAGAATTTACTTGGGTCGAACATTGCGAGTAAACAAGTTTTCTGTAAAATCTTTCTTTAAAGTTAGGTTGACCGTTTTGATGACGAGCTACATAAGTTAATTTTCCGAAACGGGTTTTTAAGAGAGCGGCAAATTTTAAATTTTTTTCCTCGGGTCTCCTTATGGGTAAACTGTGAAATGAATTTTTGAAAAGAGATTTCTTGGTGCATTTCCTGAGTGAGTAGATAGTAGATATTCCGAGAGGGGAAGAGATTCTTTGCAGGTAATTATTCTAAGAGTGGGTGCGAGTCTTTTTGTTGCCACATTCTCTTTTCTGAATGTGAATCTTTTGGCGGGAGTTCTTGGGACTAGAGTATTCTTGTAAGCGAATATTATGAGAGTGATCATCTTGGTGGAAATTTCTCTTGTTTAAGGAATTCTTGAGGAAAGGTATTCTGAAAAGGTGGAAATTTCTCTTGTTTAAGGAATTCTTGAGGAAAGGTATTCTGAAAAGGTCAATATTCTTCCGGAAACAAATGTTTCTTCAGGGAGAGTGTTTCTTGAGGGCAATAGGAGAATGCACAAGAAAGGGTGCACATGGAAGAGCGCATATGGATTTTCGGTGGAAGTTTCTTTGGGGAATGTGAATTTCCGAATACTGCGAAGGAAATCATTTAGGAAAATGAATCTCTCCTGGGGTGAACTTTTCGCAAATAAATTTTCCCGCAAGTTTGTTTGTTGGGACCACATATTTCGTAGGCGACAGATTTTTTTACAAGATACCAGTTTCTTTGGAGCATTTGACGGGGATTTTGTAGTTTTCTGAGAGGGCATAAGGAAGATATGTTTTGTTGAGTGAATATTCTGAATATGAAATGTTTGTAGTGAACTTTCTGATCGAGGTTTTCTTTGCTGATTTCTTCTGAGAGTGTTTCCCGAACATTTCGGAGGAGGGAGATAGCTTTCCTTAGAGCGAACGATCAGACACCAAGCTTTCGTGAACGAACCTTTTCCCTATTTATTGAGTGCGAATATTTGAACAGGGTTTTCCGGGAAGGAAAATATTACGGAGAAGATAATTTCTTTTAGAATACCAGTTTCTTTGGGGGCAGTTTCATGGTGGGCGAATATTTTGGAAAATGCATTTTTTTTGGAGCGAGTTGTTTTGCGGCAATTTGTTTAACGCGAATATTTTTTAAGTTTTTTATGAAGCTAATATATTACTGAACTAAAAATGTTTGTGAAATGAGTTTTCTGGGTTTGATATTTTTCAAAAAGAAGTTTAGAGAAAGAGGTTCCAAGTCCGAGTTCCTTCTGTACAATTTCCCGTAGTTCTTGAACATAATTATTTTCTGGTAGGGTATCATGGGATGGCAGATATTCCAAGTGCAGCGTGGAGATAATTTAATCTGAGAGAGATTAGTTAGATGCAAATGGAGTGCGAGCTTTCGTGAGCAAATATTATGAGGAGAATTCCACGTGGCAACTTCCGTTAGTTTCAAAACGTAATCTTTTCGAGAAAGATCATTTTCTTTGGGGAAAATGTTCTGAGACCACGCTTTCGTGAACGAGTAGATAACACGGGCATACCTGGATCGTTCAAGGTCGCTCTCTACCCCGTGGTGACCTTGAAAAGTGGGTGAAGATGAAGCTCAAAAGTAGGTTAAGGTAAATCTTAAAAACATCTCGTCTCCAAAGATCAATGACCCCCTTTTTGTTATCTCTTAATTCAATTTCAAGATCATCAAATGTCAATCGTCCCATTTTTGTTGGCGTAAACTAACTTTTTTTTAGGCAGTTAACTAAATATATAGGAGATAACATTCTTTGAGGATTGTTCCTGTTTACTAGATGAGGATTTTTTGAAAGAGGATTTTCTGGAAGGGAAAATGGTCCGTAGAAGGCAATCTTTTTTGACAAATCGCTTTTTTTGGTGCAATTACTCTTAGTTATTGAACTCAAAAGTTTATTCGAGAGACAAATGTTTTAGAAGACGTGGAGACAAACATTTCGACATTTGGGAACTTTCTACGGTTTCAGAACGTGAATTGTTTAGGGTTGAACGCAGGACGAACTTGGTTGGGAGAGTTTTCTTGAAGGTAATTTTTCTCGCATGCTGAACAGTTTCGTATTACAATTTTTTCTGCGCGAATTCCTCTGATTACTTGGGTAGCTCTTCTGGGCGAGGGTTTCATGACCTCAACTCTTATGAATGTAATTTTTTTGTGAGAGTTACTGGATGTGAAATTCTTAACAGAGTGCGTTTTCTGGAAGTGAAAATATTCTATAACGTTCTTCAAGAAAGCGAGTGTCTGAGGGTAATTGCTTTTATCTATTGATGGTGAATCTCAACAAATATTTCGATGATTACAGTTCCTTGGAGGTAATTTTTCTCAGTGTCCGAACATTGATTTTCTGGTGAGATAGTTCTCTCAAGAGGCGAACATTTCACACGAGTTTTGTCGCAGGTAATTTTTACTTGCTGCCGGACACCTGCTGGACACGCATTTCGTAGGGAGAGGACGCATAAAAACAATTTTTTTGGTTTTTCAGGTACGAGTTTTTTTGGGGCAATTTTTCCAATAATACTAAAAACACGAATTTTTGTTGAGTTATTTCTGGAAACGCGAATATATTCCTTGGCAAAAGATGTATGTGGGGTAAGTTTTCTGGTGCCGATTTTTCTGAGGGTGAAGTTTCGAGAGTGAATTTCCCGGGAGTTCCTTCTGCACAATTTCCCTTAGCCCTTCAACGTATATTTTTTCGGCAAATGTAGTGAGGTCAAGTTTTGGTAAACGAATCTTTCATTTCCCTACTAATTGAATGTGAATTTTTTGGAATATGATCTTTTTCGAGAAAGCCAGTTTCGTTAGGCCAACCGTGTGTGGCGTGATCTTTTTAAATTTTCTGGAAGGGCAAATATTCCAGTCGGCACACATTTTTCATGGGAATTTTCATTATAGCCTTTTGAAGCAATTCCTTTCCATTGACTTCTGGTTGTGAATCTATCAGGGGAGTTTCCTGGTGAAGCAATCTGCTGGAAAAGTAATCGATTATTTTTTAAAAATCACAACCGTTGTTTATAATTTATTGTCATCAAGGAATCGATTTTTGCTAATACTAGATAATACTCGTATCTATTGCGACTTACTTATTTTTACTCAAGTTCCATCCTGCACAACTAATTAATCGCATCAATTGCGAGTTACGCTTCATTATGTAACGCAAATTTATTGCAGCAGGAAAAGCTCATTCTCCATAGTAACCTTTTAGTGTATTTGGGAAAATTGGCCACAAGTTACCGACTAAAAACTGCCGGAAAAACTGACAATAGAATCAAAAGTACCCAAGAAATATTAACAGCGATGCGCATCATTAAACTGTACACTTGGGAGAAGTTCTTTTCAAAGTCGCTCGACACACTGAGAAAGTAAGCATCTTGGAAATCATTGGCGGAAACTTAATCTCACACTTTTTCAGGCGAGAAATCAAAGACCTACGAATTTTGCTCTACATTAAGGCACTCGCGTCGGCCTTCGGTGAGCTGTCATCACGTATCGCGTTCTACATCTGCGTAATCACCTACATCACTCTGGGAAACCACATTACCGCCGAAAAGGCCTTCATCGTCACAGGTTGCTTTGGTGCGCTGCGATCTGTACTTACAACTTATATGCCAATGGGAATAACTCAACTGGCGGAATTGAAGGCGTCTTTAGGACGTATAACCAGTTTTTTATTGCTGGAAGAAGTTCCTGAAGCAATTTGTCGCGACGTCCGTGCAGGAGAAATCATCGTGAAGGATCTTACGGTTAAACTGGCAGGAGAGACCGTTTTGGCTGCAGTTAATGTGGAGATTTCGAAAGGACTGACTTTGATAATCGGGCCGACCGGTTCCGGTAAGTCAAGCTTTCTGAAGGCCATACTTGGAGACGTTAGTTTATCGGAAGGAAAAGTAACTAGGAGCGGAAACGTTTCGTATGGATCTCAAGAGCCCTGGTTGTTTCCAGCGACGGTACGCCAAAATATTATTTTCGGGGAGAAGTTTGACGAAGACAGGTTTCGGGACGTAATCAAGGTTTGCGCGCTCGAGCGCGATCTGGGTGCATTTGCGAATGGTGATCAAACTATAGTTACCGATCGTGGATTGAATTTGAGCAAAGGGCAGAAGGCGAGAATTAATTTGGCACGTGCCATCTACAAAGAGGCAGACATTTACTTACTAGACGACTGTTTGTCTTCTGTTGACAATCGTGTTGGAAAACATATCTTTGATGAATGCATCAAAGGATTCCTTAAAAATTCCATATGCGTACTGGTTAGTAATAGCCCACTCCGCTTGGATGGGGACGATGTGGTCATGGTCTTGAGTAATTGTCGCGTCAAATTCTGTGACCGCTTCAGTAATTTTGTTAAATGGGACGATAAGGAAGTTGACACAAACTTGAGTTACAATACAAGTGACCCAAAGATGGAGATACAAACTGTTTCCAACACGATTTCACCTGAGAAAAATGATGTAAGTGCCCCTGACAATTACAGAGAATTAAATCGAGTTGGACAAGTAAATAGAAGCGTATACTTCGCTTATTTTGCTTCTGGTGGAGGATGGAAAATGTTGTTGGCGGTTTTACTATTCTTCATTGCTGCTCAAGTTGCAAACAGCTGGTCAGATTACTTTGTTAGCTTTTGGGTCGACATGGAACAAGACCTTACCGGCTTTCATTTAAATAATACCATCGATTCCGCCGAATATTCAGAGTTAGAAGATGCACATGACAAAGTGATCAAGTCGTACTCATTTGTGATGCTGGGTGCATCCATTTTTACCGTGCTTCGTGCCGTCGTATTTTACATCTTCAGCTGCAAAGCATCAAGCGCAATTCACAGTTCGGTAATGGCAAATATTTTAAGGACACGAACCTCTTTTTTTGACAACAATCTCTCGGGAAATGTACTGAATCGTTTCTCTCGTGATTTGGCGGTGATTGACGAACAAATGCCAGGCACACTAGATGGAGTGTTAAACGTATGTGTATCTCTTTCAAAAGATGGTTACTTATTATTTTTCAGGTTATTTTGTCAGTGCTGGGCGTATTCTTTGTGGTTTCATCCGTAAACCTCTACTTCATTATTCCATCGCTAATATTTATGGTTCTGTTGTATTTTGCTCGCCGTTTGTATTTGCCAACTGGTCGAAGCCTACGGCGCCTTGAGGGAGCATGTAAGTAAAATAATACTCTGTATATCAAAGAAATAATCCTTTCATCTTTAGCCAGAAGTCCAATGATCGGCTATATTAACGCCACCTTAGAAGGCCTGACAACAATTCGAGCCAGTCGAGCCCAAAGAATTTTGGAAAAGGAGTTTGATAACCACCAAGACGTGTACAGTTCCGTTGTCTACATGAACATCGTAGCTTCCAGAGCGTTTGGTTTTTACGTCGATATGACATGCGCCTTTTACATAGCCGTTATAACTCTATCATTTTTATTGTTCAAAACCGGTAGGTAACAACCACTATTAATGGCAGTGGTGACTATAGGAACTTGTAGAAAGTCTAGCGGGAAAAGTTGGATTAGCCATATCGCAGTCATTTAGGCTCACCAGCTTATTACAAAATGGAATACGGCAATGGGCTGAACTTGAAAGTCAAATGACGTCCACTGAAAGAGTGCTGGAATACAACAGTCTTAATGTTGAAGAAGCAACTGGTAGTAAACCGGGAACTTGGCCCAGCAAAGGTACTATCGAGTACAAAAATGTTCATTTGCAATATTCAGCCAAAGCAGAGCCAGTTTTGAAGAACGTGAATTTTTACTTAGAAAGCAGGCAAAAAGTGGGAGTAGTGGGTCGAACTGGAGCCGGCAAGACGTCATTGGTTTCGACGCTGTTCCGAATGTATGACTACGAAGGATCGATTTTAATTGACGATGTCGATATTAAAACTGTGGCGATCAAGTATCTGCGATCCAAAATATCTATAATCCCACAAGACCCAGTGCTGTTCTCGGGCACAGTAAGAACAAATTTAGATCCCTACTACAAATATCAAGATAAAGTCATTTGGGATGCTTTGGATGAAGTCGAAATGAAGAACTGTTTTAAAACTTTGGACGCTGAAATTACCGAATCTGGTACAGGATTGAGCGTTGGTGAAAGGCAGCTGCTCTGCTTGGCTAGAGCAGTTGTTCACAACAATAGTATTTTAGTATTAGATGAAGCCACAGCAAATCTCGATCCTAGAACTGATAACCTTATTCAAAGGACGATCAGGAGACGATTTGGTGGATGCACTGTCATAACAATAGCTCATAGACTGAACACTGTGATTGACTCGGATGTGATCATTGTCATGGACGGTGGAAAAATCGTCCAATTTGGTCCGCCAAAAGTATTATTAGAAGACAAGGATAGTTTATTCTATTGCATGGTTAAAGACTCCAGAATAGAATTCTAACTTTTCTTACTTTGTATTCACTCAATTGATTTTCTACAGTAATATGGGACCTTTAAACAGGCATAACTAAAATTGTCAAATTGTGCTATGCGTGTTTCACATTAAATTGATAGATGGAATAAATGTCCTTTTCTGATTATAGGATTTCGTACTAAATCTGAGCATCGCCGCTTATTAAACCCCTAATTAAATTTCATCATATGTGAAAAATTATCACTCATAGATTCCGTGTAACGGCAGCTCGTTGCCGAAATTTTAATTGATTGACATTTGCGCGAATTTTTGAGTGCGGCCCTGGCCAGTTAAATACGTGTGAAAGTTGGTAGTACCATCCAACCATCAGGGCGTTGCTCAGCGTTTCGTTTGATTGGTTTGTACGGAAACCAGTCCACGCGAATGTCTATCAATTTGGATTTCTAAGGGTTTCATTGGCTAGAAAAAATGAGTTCTATTGGTGGAACAGGTCCGCATGATAGTTGGGCGTAGTTGTCAAAAATTAAAGTAGTGAGAATTAGGTTCGGTCATAGATAGCCGAGTTATAAGCCATGATAACGTTCGCGTTGAACAGTTCAAAAGTTTTAAATGAATCATACGAAAGTTTGCACGGGGTTTTAGTTTTAGTTTGTAAGAAAAATCAATGATAACGTAGTAATTTTATTTTTAAACACCCTGTTGTAAAATTCCTCCGTTAGATGTCGCCCGATATTATCCCCATCCTTTAAAATTTCCCTTCTCAAATGTCCACTTGTTTATGTTGCTCCTTGTCTCTATAAAAGTTTGATTTTGACCTGAGACTTTTGACGAGCTTTCTTACCCGATCACTTACCCACCAAGTATTATTCCAGACTCGATCATTGTGTCATTATTCTTCAGAAATCAGAATTCCTTTTACGTTTATTTTATTTACCAGACCTATTAAAGTTTATTTAGTTTCGATTGCGTTGCAATCTACTAGCCTTGCTAGCCCTAGCGACAATTCGTTGTAGGGAATGCAATCCTGCCAATCTTCATTACCTAGTTTTACAGTGATCTTTTGGATTTGTGCATTAGGCATACTCAAACCCATAGCTACTCATGCTTGCGAAAAGATTCAACTGGCTCCGAATAAGGGTTATTTGAATTGCTTGGAAGATTCTTTTTAAGGGTCGATAGCCAGGTTAGACCTTGCCGACCTTATTGGGAAACCACATTCCGTTGTCAGTAAAACTACTGTGTTATATAACTCTACCGGGTGGGGTGGGGGAGGGAGAGGGAGTTTCTTTAACTTTCTCTAGTTTTCCTACCTGTTCACCGTTGTAAGTTTCCTGATGTGTAACGGGAGCACGCGAGCTTCCGTATTATTATGCGAAGCGCCGCGAAGTAATAATAATAATAATAATAATGACATTTATTTCCACATAATACCAAAACCAAATAAGTATAAAATATATATAAATGAGTAACACATAATGTATACGGGAAATGGGACTACATTCAGTGTTTTGACAACCCTGTTCTTCCATGTAACCCCAACTCGTTATAGGAAAATAAAATATAAATTGTAAATTACGCTAGCACTCAGAAACAAATTAATACTTGAATACAAAGAGAGGAAAGAAAACAAAAATAAAAATACAAGTATAAGTACTAAAATCTTAAGACACACCAGTTCATTTGGGTAGCTCAAGTTTCAGATATTGTCTGATTTTATTTTTGAAGCCGAGAGGTTGAAGATTTTTAAGAGGAGACGGAATCATGTTATACAGCTTACATATATTATATGTGAACGATTTTTCAAAGTAAGCAGTGTGATGGAAAGGGATATTTAGTAGACCTCTATGGCGCAAATTTAGATTATGTAAGCTCGTTCTATATTCTAAACGATCAGCTAGGTAACTTGGTGTTTGGGTGATAATAACCTTATGGTAAAGAACTAGAGAATGCAACATTCTACGCTGAGACATATTAAGCCATCCCACCTCGATCATCTTATGTGAAATGTGATCTCTGCGCCCAATGCCATAAATAAATCTCAAACAAGAATTCTGCACTCTTTGTATACGGGTGGCAGTAGCTGTGTCAATGCATGCATGAAACAAAACATCACAATAATTAAAATGTGACAAAACAAGGGTATCTGTTAGGGTTATTTTGGTTTTAGTAGATAAAAGATGTCTATTCGGATACAAACGCTTTAGAGTAGAATATGCCTTGCGCAGACAATTATTAATATGGCTAACATACTTAAAGTTAGAGTCCATTAAAACTCCAAGATTTCTTGCATCGTGCGACACTTTCAATACCGATCCTTGCACTTTAATCCTAATGAGATCCAAGTTCTGGATTCTAGCTTTATCTCGTCCAAAAAGCAGCACAGTGGACTTTTTTGCATTAATAAATAAATTATGGTTTGTAGCAGTTCGGACAAGCACTTCAAGTTCTTTATTTATTAATTTTATTACATCAGATGTATCAGACGGTGGGAATGAACAATATACCTGTGTATCATCAGCATACTGATGAAATTTACAGCTTTTAAAGTCCCTGCAGATATTATTTGAATATATGACATATAAAAGTGGCCCCAAAATGGAGCCTTGTGGGACTCCACTATGTACATCAAGTAAAGAAGATTTAATGTTATCCATAAGCACACAATGCTGCCTACTTTCAAGGTAAGAGGTAATAAGTTGTACCGCAGACACATCGAAACCGTAATGATTCAGTATTGATAAAAGAAGCTTATGATTTATAGTATCAAATGCCTTAGAAAAATCTACTAATACCAAAACTGTGAGATATCCTGCATCTGTAGCTTTAATGATATCGTCGGTAATACTAAGTAATGCTGTGGTGCAACTATAATTTTTTCGAAACCCAGATTGGTAAGGTGTTAAAAGATTATATTTAAGAATGTGTTCATTTATTTGATCTTTCATAACCTTCTCCAATATTTTCGACAAAGTGCACAGTATACTAATCGGTCTCAAGTCTTTATAGCATGAAGGATTAGTAATTTTAGGAATAGGTTTGACATAAGCCACTTTCCATTGTGAAGGAAACGTATTAGTGTAGAGGCATTCATTTATAATATGCGTTATAAATGGTATTATAAAAGGACAACAAAGCTGGATCATCTCAATATTGATATTATCGGAGTCAAACGATTTAGATTTAATATTGTTAATAATTTTCATAACTATATGTTTCCTCACAGAATGGAATTTAAATTTATCGTTAACGCTATGATGTATAGTATTATAGCAATTTAAATGTTGGCTCTGTGTGGCAATAGAGCTATTAGAAATGGATTGATTAAAAAATCTATTAATTTCATCGGGTTTGTTTAACTCGTTAGGTAGTTTAGCATTATGTTTTTTATAGATGTCCAAGTCTTTAACGGCTCGCCAGAGAGATGATTTATCGCCATTGGATAGCTTGAAATTTAAATAAGCTTTCTTTTCCTGTTTGATGGAGAATGTTACAAGGTTTCTTAAAGATTTATAATACTCCCAATGGCCATTCTTTTTCGTTTTTTTAAACCGGCGATAAGCATTATCACGAAGTTTCATCATCAATTTGATATTGTCGGTGAGCCAAGGTGCTTTGGGTTTACGGGATGTAACCGTTATAATGGGAAAGAAATCATCAAAAAGGGAAAGCAAGTTACGTGATAAAAAAGCAACCTTGTGGTTGACATCAGGTAATGTATAAATATCATTCCACGCTACTTCCATTAAGGCATCTTCAAATGAAGCAGCTACCCCCACATAATCTTTTAAATTCCTAAAGCTAAAAATAGACGTATGAATTTGACAGTAGTCCAATTCTGCATTGCAAACAACATAATCATGATCAGAGAAATTATTGGAGCTTACAGTATCGCTGCTCAAGATTGACTTATGATCTGAGACAAGGATGTGATCGATTAATGAGAAAAAATCCTTAGCTATACGAGTAGGACATTCGATAATTTGAGATAAACCAAATACGTCCAACATAGAACGATACTTTATAACCATATTATCATCATGTTTTAAGAGATCTATGTTAAAATCACCCAAACAGAAAACTTTTTCGTGACTTGAAATAATAGTACTAAGTGCTTCTTCGAAATTATCCAAAAAATCGCTTAGATTACCATGAGGAGGTCTATAAACCACCCCAACAACATACACTACCTTATGTTTGTCTAAAACTTTTATCCAAAGTTGTTCATAACTATCAGAATTTTCCATAGCAATAACGGAACAGTTGAAGTGAGACTTAATGTAAATTCCGACTCCACCTCCTCTACTTCCTCGATCCTTCCTAAAAAAATTATAATTAGATATGTTGATAGCATCTGTATCAAGAGTATTTTGCAACCAAGTTTCTGAAACTGCAACTACATCATAATTGTTATGCATAACGTGATCTTGAAATTCATCAAAATTGTTTGTGAGTGATCGCGCATTGATATGTGCTAATTTAAGAACACCCATGGAAAAAGAAACCAATCCATGTTAAAGTGTCGCATAACAAAAAAAAAACCAAAAAAAACAAAAATATAAATAATTAAACTATTTATCAAAATGCCGGGTATATAAGTAAACCAGAACAGCAAAAAACATTTCTTAATTACCTATTAATTTATTATAAGAATGATAAATGAAAAGAAATTAATAAGAACCTAAGATGACATAACAAAGGAAACGTGCAAAAGAGATTACTTTAGACGTACCTAATAATTCAAAAATATGTAGACAAAAATATCAAATGCATTACGGAGATAAGAGAGTAAATAAACAAATTACCTATCATGTTAGTATGCAATATCGGATACACGTGTTATTTAGAGGGAAGGCTCACTTTAAATAGTTCCAAGTCCTTATAATGTTCGAACTTTACGATTTTGCCTTTAACATTCGCAAAAATTTTACAATTGTTGGTCCATACCTGATTATTATTTAAATTAAACTTCAACTTGACATCATTTAACAATAGACGCCGATGCTTGGTTAGATCTTCCCTAATGACTATCTTACTACCTTTAAGAAGCTTCTTATTTCCAAACACATGCGACTTGATAGTTCT